TGATATCGTCAACTGGTCGATGCAGACATGCTGGTTAGTGTGAAGTATCATCGACCAGCCGCTTTGCTCATCAGATTTAGCCTCGTGCGACTTTTTTATGTTTCCCAAGCTCAAATTGCCACTTCGAAGATCCCGTTCTGACTTCATAAATGCCATCAAAGAAAATTCGCAGAAGGAACTAAAGGCTGTACCAAAAAGGGCCTATAAAAATGTTTCGATGATTGGAATAGGCGTCTGACTGTGCATCTGTATCGCTTCAAAAGGAGCATATTTTGAAGGAGATTCAAGAAAAAATAAAAAAGATTAGGAATTTTGTGTTTTATTCCAATTTCTGGGTACTTTTTTGTCACTGTGTATAGCACAAATTGTTTCGTTTGCCTGTGAGGAAGCTTCAAAGTTGAAAGAAAATTTTCATTTTTTTATAACTCTTCAGTAGATTTTTAGAAAATTTGGGTTTAACTACCGCAACCCGAATACTGTCGATTTTAATGTTATTACAATAAAAAATCATCAATAAGCATAGGCTAATTTTATTACCGTAAAATATTTATGACGGTTGGATCATTTAATTATTTTGCACATTATTATTCATTAAAATTTGCAATATGAGACCACACAAAGTGCACATTTAAATAAACCTTAATAAACTATACCTAGATACATACTGATAATAAAATTATGTTAATATGTTGTTGTTGCCTCATTGAATTCCATGAATTTAGTATATTTCATTGACAACGTCGGGGTGAAACCGTTATTAACCGAATAAACCACATTTTTCTTTTCGTGTCTATTAAATTCCATGCTGTTAAAATTTGCTTCGAGATTATCTATCATCTTAAAAGGCGCTCATAATTCGAGCACTTTACTACCAGATGACTTGCTGCATGCTTCTCTACATAACTTTTTTTATCGACTTTATTGATCTCATGTTCAAGAAACATACCAAATATCAAAAGATAAAATAATTGATTACTTATTCGTGTGTATATAAATCATGCTCCCTGCAGTCGGATTATTAAGTGCGCTTATTTTTCTTTCTAATTGTAATTAAAAACATAATAATGATGACCAAAAAAATTAAAAATGATTAATTAACGATTCGGAGGCTTTGTAATTTATTACGCATACCAGGTGTTCTATACCGCATGCAACTACAAGTCAATAAACACCTTCGGGACTCTATTATAACGAAGACGATTAAAATATTTATTTGCTTTACCTGCACCTATTTATAAAATAAAATTAAGCGATCCTTCGAGCGGCGGTTTCGGTAATAAAATACTGTCAGCAGCGAAACCTCATTGCGAAACTAAACGCGCAATATATTTGCCGGAGTATTAGTTAGTACCAAAATTAAAAATTAAAAATAAAATAAATCACTGTTAGTTCAATAATGACCACGCGTATATTCGCTCGACTTTGGCACGTCCCTCGGGGCGAGACATACAAACAAAATATCCTCAAGAATACTATCGACAACAACACATGTACTAGATTATCTTTCTAAAAGATATTCTCGTAAGGCTGATAGTGTTCGATACGTAATTTATGTATTGCGAGGAAAATGGTTCAAGTAGATCCAGTTCTAGATAGGCATTTTACAAAAATACGGTTCTTTTTCGAATTTATATTTAAATTCTATTAAAATTTATACCCATTATTTTGGTATATAGAGTACCTAATTTATTAATAAAAAAAATTGAGAATAAAGTATATTTTTTATGTATAACATACATAATTTCAATTGTATACTACCTTTTTTCAACTAGGTACATATTTAGAATCTTTAATTTTTATATTGTTTTGTAATTTGGTTATCATTGTTTAATCCTTTAATTTAATTAATTTAATTATCAATTACCTTACAATTTATTACATTTTTCTTCTCAGAGAAATAATTTTTGCATTAGCAGTTTTCGCGTATTCTAAGAATTTACCAAGCTGTTGCAATTTAACAGATAGTTAAGCAGTAATTACCGATATTTAATTTCGAGAAAAAGTCCGGTAAACTGGAAAATCCAAATAAAAGACATTCGTTTTAATCACGATTACATCAATATGAGGGTAATCAGTGATCCAATAATCACGGACCTAATAAGGCGAAACCAGTAATTTTCTAGAATAAATTTAATATAATTTGTATTTAAGCAGTCATCATTTGAACGAGACCTTATTATCAGGTTCAAATACCTTATTGGTAAACTCGACTCAACGACATCATGCAAACGGGATGGAAGTTTGTACGGTTATGTCGCTTTTCCAAACAAGTTTAGATTCATTGATGTGTTTACTGGAACGTTTCAAAATACAGTTGCAGTTTTATTTTTCCACAAAATACCAACGATGTAATATACCTACGTGCTTTCTTCTCTACGAGAACATCTACATCTCATACTACTATGGTATTAATATTATCTTCAGATAAGGGAATTTTTCCTTAACTTAACTTAGTATTATTTCCTAATATTGGGATAAAGCAAATCAACATTTATTCATCTTAATGTGCAGATTCTGGTTTTCAAATATTTACGTTAGGTTTTAAAAATAGCGGTAACTTGATTGTTGAGGTAATAAATCCTGTTTCTTGTGAAAATAAAAGTGTCAGTTACGCGGATAATAAAATAAGCGATGATACGTTCGTCAATTTTTTTCGAATAAAAACAGATGTTTGTTCCTATATAAAACAATGGAGTCGAAGCCTAATGTCAGAATGACTGATGCATTTCAGGAAAAACTGTTGTAAAAGTCAATTTTGTCTGCGTTTATTTCCTTGTACATAAATAAGCAATCCCGATAAATTAATAGATGCTTACAGTTCGATAGAAATAACAAAAGATTCGTGAAATTTGCAATTTAGCTACAATGCATCTCTGAAAATTACCTAAAAGAACTCCAATAAATATTTCAAATAGCAAAAATCAATTAGGCCTTTTATATCAGCGTACCAATCAAGATATCAAGTTTTTGCAACGAAATCCCTGTGGTGTAAAATTTAGAATTCCAAGTTAAGAAACGAGTTTATTAATGCGCTGGTAGCGAAATTTCGTCACGATTTGAAGAAAACCATTCCAATAAAAGTGAGTTTTCTTCGTTCCCTAGATAAATCAAAGATTTTAATCGGTTGTACTCTTGTTCTGCTACTGTAGCTTATTTCAAAATGCATCAGTTTTTTTCGAAGCCGGATTGAATGTAATGCGTTTGAACATGACATTATCGACGTGATCGTTTATCAAACTCGTTTTATGGACGGTTTTTATTTTTCTTTATCTCGAATTTGATTTAACTTTATTGCCCGCCTATGAAATAAACTTTTCTTATGCAATTTTATCGTTATTTTAGCCGGACTAGTTTTATCGAGACAACTTCTTTCTATCATTTATTTCATCGAGACTGCTGCGATTTTCTCTAGTTTTTGTCGTGATTTTACAATGAAATTACAGATCTATAAAAATTGTTGAATATACCAAGGTCGTTTGGGCACCAGTGAAGAAGAAAAGCATCTTTTGCTATTTCTATCGGTCTGTAAGTATGCTATGTATAAATCCTTTTAGTTAACCTCAGGATTTGTTGAAGATTAAGATGGAATAATTCCTTCGAAGGTAACAAAACAAACATGTTAAAGATGATTGTTTTACTTGGAGGTAACGGTCAAAAAACTAATTAATCAAAAATTTAAAAAGGAAAACGCATAGTGATAATTACTAAATCTTACGTACCTAGTAACTATTCATTAAAATGATTATTCTTTCAATGATTCCGTTTAAATACACTACAATTATCGATAATTATACATTACACTTATGATATCATAATGCCGTCCATGGCCTTCTTTCTCGAAGCTTTGCTTGTGCAATTGGCCAATCTCGGTTGTTATAAAAAATGTAGCTTGCAATTGATAACAATCTAATGTCCAATTTAAATATGAAATATAGCTTGATTCGATTTTTATTTTAATTTTATTTCAAACCGATATAAACTATCTTCTTCTCGATGTAAAAAAGGATGCCACAAATACTCCAAGAGTGTTGAAAATATGAGAGAAGAAAGAGGCAAAAAATCTTTATTCTTCCGATTATGTATTACTTATATCCAAGTAAGTATAACTTCGTGAATAATGCAGTAAATTTCTTGTCGTATAAAATTAAGCGGCAGTAAATGCTCGATTTTGATTGATCACATCTAATACAAGCAGCGTTTTATAAATATAGGCGTTACTTGGACAGTTCCAAATAATGACTTCATTGGCGTTTTCAACGCAATGTGTCCAGGCAAATGCTGTTATTTAAAAACTGGTTTCTTCACTGATTAAGCGAGACTCTTAAACGCTTGGTGATACCGAAGATCCTCTTTAACAAAAGTTGTAGATTTGAGTCGATTTGCTTAAGTAAACGCCGCTAAAACGCTCCACCTGCCTCGTATCGTTTATCTCAGTTGCAGGAATTTGAATAGTCGATGATGTGAATGAACGGTTTTTTTTGTTACTATTAAAGTTTCTGTGTTTTGATGAAATTCTAATAGTTTTGTAAAGAAAACTAGTTTTTTTATGTTAATGCTTTTAGTTAACATAATTAAGATTGTAAACATTGAATAATTTTGTTATTATGTATGTCACATTTTTGTACTAGTGACATAATAAGGTTTATTATCAGGTCTTTTATTTTTGTGTTTTTATTACAGGAAAAAATATTGAATTTTTAATTATCTTGCATCAACTTTTTAATACTCTCTTCTTCATAAACTTTACCCATTTTTGTAAAATGGTAAGTGTAGTATTTGTTTTTTTTGTGACGGGATGAAATTTCCTATCAAAAGATAGAATTTATACAATGAAGATGTAATAGGATTATTAAATTCTATTCATTTTTCTTATACATATTATATTCTTATACAATCTTATACAAATTACACCAGATACAAAAAAAACTGATTCTATTTGATGGCGCAACCACGAAAATCTTCCTTTACATTATTAAGGGGTCAATTATTAATGATCTTACCTTATTCTGAAAGAGTATCCTGAAAGTATCCCTCGTGTATTTGTCATCTTTGGCCACGATGTCGTTACACCGCCTCAGATTAGCCATTCTGATCCTCTCCCTGAGGTTCTCCTCTTCCATGCTCGAAATGGGCACCAGGGATTTTCGGCGCTGCGCCAGCCGCTCGTCAACCGGCGCTTTGTCGGGCGCGTTACTGGCCGTCGCGACGCCCGTGCTCCTCGACGCCGGCGATACGATGTTTACTTTATCCACAGAACCGTCGATTTTGGTTTGTTTCACGAGTTTTTTGTCGGGGTTCGAGTGCTGGTTGGGTTCCGAATTCGCGCCATTGCAGGGAAGCGGGTTCTTGGGTGTCGGGGTTTGTTTGCGTCTCGGCGGTATTAGGATATCCGGTGGATTCTGGTTCTCTTCGGGTAGTTGGTTAGGTTGTTCCGGTGGAGATTCTTCCGGAGGATCGATGTTTTGTTGCGATACAGTCATTTTATGCACTTTAAAAACATTTATTATAACTGGTTATGTATAGGTAAGAACGTTTTTGGTGTTTATTTATTTCAAAAATTTGGTGAATGTATTAATAATTTATTTTTTAAATTCATCGGTATTATGATAAAAATCACTACTTATCAACACTATACATTCCACAGTAAAATATCGGAAAACACCAGTAGGTAATTGTGTGCGTTACATATGGGTATTTAAGTTATCAATTTGGGTAGCGCGTTAGAAAATCTCAATCGACCGGTTTTACGCTTATCGAGCGGTTCTTCGGCATCTAAATCGACGAAGGACTGATTGGTACGCTGCTCCGTCCGCCGCAGGAGGCGAAAAGATCGCACCATTCACTCGGTTCTTCGCCGGGGTGGGAATGGTACCACTTTCCACTACCGTGCTGCTGGGTGTTTGGGTGTAATCTACGGCGATTTGGTCGCCTGTGATTTGTGTAATTCCAAGGTTTTCGGTTTCGGGGAAGTAAATTGGGTGTTTGCTTCTGTAATGGTAGTAGAAGCGCACTTAATAAAAGCGCAAGTGTACAGGGCGATTACAAAATGCCAATCAAGAAGGCAAACTCGAACTTAGCTTATTTTAAGAATACAAAATAACATATTAGTGCATGTAAAAATTAAAGTATAACCAAGAATATAATTGAAGGGTAGAGGAGAAGAACGACAATAGTTCATCCAAAAGATTTTCGAGAAAAATTAAAATATAAGTTTACTTACTCGTTAGAAAGTGAAATTAAAGAGATCTTTTAGCTGTTGTTTTGCGGACTTTTTACTGCAGCAATTTTTACCATTTAACAATTTCATTATCTGATACAAAATGCTATAAAAATAAACTGAATTTTGAATCTAGATTGCTTTATATGGCACACATTATTGGGTATATCAGATGGTTGTTGAATTCTACAGGGTGATATTTTTTCAAGGGTCATGTACCCTTTTTCCCCCTGAACTTTTTTGCTGTGCGCCGCTAGTAGATTCTAAAATACAAAATGAATTGTCTGTTTTGTTTAGAAACTTTTTTTTTATTTTTACTTTTTTCGTTTCTGTGGCCGTTATCGAGAAAAAAATTAAAAACAGCTGCGGACGTTCACGAATATCATCAAACGCTAAAATAATTCGAGCCACTAACTCTTCTTGTGTATTAACAGGTGTCTCATAAACCAATGATTTAATATGACCCCAGATACAAAAATCAAGCGGCGTCATATCTGGTGAACGTGCATGCCAAGAAATCGAGCCCCCTCTACCGATCCATCCATTTGGAAACTGACCATCTAACCATGCAGGCAGCAAATATGGTCCAACTACATAATTATCAACAATCCCAGCCCAAATATTTACAGAAAACTTCCACTGATGTTGTAATCAGTGAACGGCGTGAGGATTTTCTTCGCTCCAAATGTGATTTAGTAAGTAACTAACTAAAATCTTTCCTGCTGTAAAAACCGAGATTGTTTTTAAAGACCTCTAATTTTCCTTGACACCGAGACATTTTCGGACACTAGTGTATTGATAAAAAATGTTTATTTAAGAAATTTCTGAAAATTAGGAATAGTTATTCTGAAACACCCTGTAGAAACACAAGGGAGCTGCACAAAAGCGTATACTGTCCATACGTCGCGCCGAATACGCTCGAGACGATCATACGCTCCGTGTGCAGAATGCCTAATGCATAGTGGGAGTTGATGGGCTTCGCCACTTCGATTCGTTGTTCGGGCTTCGCCGTGATGTCGTATTTGGACGAATCATCAAAGGAAAAATGAACGAAGCGACGACGAAGTAACGAAGTCTGCAATTCGGATATACAACGGAGATTCGTTATTCGTTGTTCAGTCGAGTAGTCGGTGCGTAGCGTATTTTTATTTTTCGGGAGATGGAGTGGACTGAAAATGCTATGCTAACGTTCATAAAAAAAATTCAATCGCATCCATGTTTATGGAATCCGGCGGATAAAAATAAAAAAAATCGAAGTAAGGTGCGTGACGCATTCAAAAATATAGCCGAAGAAATGAATACAGAAAATATCGAGGAATTAAAAAAAAAGAAAGAAATCATTTTTCAAACGTATCGAGGATACAGAAGGAAGGTACTCGTTAGCCAAAAATCCGGAGCAGGGACCGACGACATTTACAAACCAACATGGCCGCCATACTCACTTTTAGATGAGTTTCTACACGGGATATATTCTCCAAAAGGAAGATTCGACACGTTGGTAAGTATAGAAACATAGAGAAAGAAAGATGAGAGAGTTCGATCCCTTCATATACATACATGTTGCTCCATCCGCGCTGATATCGTGTAGAAGCGACTCGATGAAAATAGTGCCGATATATATATATATATATATATATATATATATATAGGTCCGCACTATTTTAGTCTATACTTCATCCATCCAACCAACGGGGTAACCAAAACAAGGTTAGATGCGTGATCACCATGCACACTTGCATCTATTGGGCAAAAAAGAAAAGCCTCCTTACGCTGACCAATCACTGGTGATCATGCGTTGATCCAGCGTCTAACCTTGTTTTGGTTACTCTGTTGGTTGAATGGATGAAGTATAAGTAGGGTTCAGTGCTTGCCTGGTCATGTGGTATTGAGCCGTGATAACGATTGGCTATCGTTTCTTCATTATTATACATCATTATTCATTATTATACACGTGTGTGATAATTTTATTTTTTCAGATCACTGAAGATGAAGGTGAGCAAATAGTAGTTGATGTTGATGAAGATCAAGCTAGTGGAGGATCGTTTCAAACAGCATCGCAATTCAGCGTTGGAGCTTCTGTACCATCCACCACTTCCCACGCTCCATCCAATAAAAAGAGAAAATGTAGTACCCAACGTATAGATGCCGTGCATGATCTTAGAAACCTACAAGCAGGTATCGATGCTGACGATGAGGATTCATTCAAAGCGTTTGGAAATAGTGTAGCGGCACAATTGAGGAAGTTATCAGGAGAAAACGCTCTTTTGGCTCAAAGGGACATCCAAAACATCCTCACTGACTACGGTATTGAGGATATTCGGGAAAGGAAAAATATTGTCTACTTCTCAACATGTAACCGTCCTTCATCTCCAGCATCCACATCATCATAAGCATTTCATGTTTCCTCACAGTCACCTTCACCACTGCGATTTACTCGGCCGAATGAACTGGCCCAGGACTAGGCACGTCTAATTGGACCTTATGCTTGGTGCTGAATTGGCTCATATTAAGGGTTCCAATAGTTTTTACCTGTTGCAAGATAGTGCTGAATTGGCGCATGTCCGAAATTTAACATGATAAAATAAGTTTATGTATGATAATTGATAATGAATCTAATCAAGTGAGGGAAAATATTAGATTATTAAACAGGTAATTGGGTTTTCATACAAATAAAATTGTAATAAACTAATATGTTACCCTTTTATTACCTATTAAAAATGTAAAAATTATAAAATAAATAAAAATGGAGCTAATATCATTCATTCCTTAATATTACCTATAATTAGTTAAGACGGTTCTTACTTTTTGAAGACATTACAACTCATTATACGTATAGTACCACAATAAGCGCTTATTTTTAAAGCTTCACAGCATTAAAATTTTTAAACTTAACAAACAACAATAAAATTACAATCTACTGGGGAAATTAAATTTGCCCATCACGTGCTCGAAATGTCTTCTACCATCAATATACATCATCGCTTCGTGGTAAGTTTGAGGTATGACCTCGTTAACAACTTCAGGTACTTGAAATGTAAAGTGCAAAGTATTCGTCGTATCGTTTTCCCCCGTTATAGAATTGTAAACCTCCACGTGAACTAACACTTGAATGTAATTTAATTGAGTATAAACCACGTTAGCGTGCATTCTTATTAGAGAGCTAACGGCAATGGCCTTTTGAAAACTAATGTCGCTGATGCTCTTCATGACGGGCCTGTATTTGCTGTAAGTGAAACCCAAGACCCACGCCAGTTCTTGAGCCATTCGCATTATGAAGCCTCCAAATACTTTATTATGCATGTTTCGCTCTTCCGGATGGGAGAAGATTACGTTTGAAATTGTAGCGTTAGCCATCCAAACGCAACCGTGCGGAAGAACTTTTCTCACACTACTATCCTTATCCATGGTTCGAATGTACAAGTTGTGGATAAGTTGTTGCTCTTCAGCATCAGGGATTAACTATGGATAAATTATGAATCAATATTTGTTTAAACATGGTGACCCTGAAAGTGTGAGAAATCTCTCTATTTCCAGCTGCGTCCTTTAGAGACACATATTTTCGTAGGAATGGCCCATAGGGAAAAACTTTATAGGAACTTCTCATCTTATTTTTTCATGTTCTATGTGGATCCGAGAGGTTTCCCACTCTTTCAGTGACACTCTGTATTAAGGTGGTTTTTACGTACTTTCGAGACATGGTTTTGTTGCATTAAAAACCTCCTTTTCTTCCTAGTTTCGCCTCCCGATAAAATTTCTTTTTCTCTATCATCGGCCGGTTCAAGTGAATTCACGATACAAGCTTTGCTGTTAACCGAATCTCTGGTAGCCATCAAGAATAGAGCTCTAGTAATTCTATGCCAGGTTCCGTGCATTAATTGCTCTAACCACACAACAACTTCCAGGGAAGATTTTCCTACCCAACTGACATGACCGGATATTTTTATATCTTCACCAGTCTAAAACAAGATGATGTAGATGTAGTTTTAAACACATTTCCGTGTACACTTACTTTAGGTATGAACTCAGTGAAGTCTATTTTATCGACTTGAGCAGTTACAATCGTGTAAGGAAAAATTTCATTTTCTGGTTTATTTGGATTTTGAATGTGCTTGTGCACTACCATTACTAGAAAAAAAAAGGTCAAATAAGTGCTCAAATGAGAAGTAGGTTAATAATTTTACCAGCAAATATATCCATATCCTCTAACAATCTACCGATCCTAACTTGACCCAGAAATGTGGTGTATTTATCTCTTAGCGCTTTGTCTTTGGATAAAGGGATTATTCCAACTAAAAAACTATCTTTCATGGCACGCTTTGGTAACTCATTTTGGCTTTTTGGAAGGTATTTCAGTAAGTGCGAACGGTCTTTCTGAATCGGGTCATATCCTTTATCCACTCCCATGTCCTTGGTTATTGCTAGTTTCACTGAAAATTCGTCATTGTTAGGATTGTTTTACGTAGATTGATTATCAAACTTACATTCAGGTAAGGTAGCAATTCTTTCCTGTGCGTTACAGGTGAAAGTTGCTAGCATGTCTGCTGAATTGTTAGACGTCATCCTTTGTTGATGATAGTTGTAGTAGCTGCTTCTAAATTTGATTGAGTTTGATTGAATTATAAATTAGAAAAATACACGTGTGATAATGCAATGATCATAATACGTCGGCTACAAAGGTCAATGGAATGGAGATTGTAGATAATAATATGCTTGCTTACCGTTTGAATGCATTTTGAAAATTTAAACGAACAGTTCGTAAAAGAGTTTTTGTTAGCATTTTAATGCGAAAATTGTAGTTTTAACTGCAGCAAAATATTTCCTATCTTTGTAGATGACTAAAATTCCATTTTGCGAAATCTCAACTCAAGGCCAATTCCCTGGAAAAATTGAAGTTTTGTGTTTTTAGCTTTTAGTGGCATCATGACCTTGGGCTTTATTTGATTAGATCCTTCCGGGCTTTTCTACCTACAAATTTTATAAGTGTAGCATAATTTCTAATTACAGAATTTGAATTGTTAATTTATTTTAAATTTTTTTATAATTCAAATTTGTATTGTCAATGTCAAATAAATCAATACTGTCAAGTGCAGTCATTCTGCGTTTCGATTGGTCAATCAATTGTCATTTTTCTTCTTCCGTTTTATTATTATTGCATTAACCACTGACTACTTACAGTAGAGACCTCCTGAGAATAGATAAATGGCAACACTGTCCTTGTCGATTTAAAAAACGTCACTGTCACTGTCATTTTATTCAGAATCCACATTTATTTATTAACCTTCACGCTATGAGGGTAGCAAGTGTATCAAAATGTTTTTATCTCGCAAATGATTTTACGCGATTTTAACGATTACGCGATTGTAGTGCGGGGTTAATTGCAAGGAAGTGCGTGTGCGGGAATTTTTACACGGCTTTTAAAAGTATCCTAGTAGTTTTAAATTAGTTTTACCAAATATATCCTACAGGTTGGTATTTATTTTCGTTATACTGTTGTTTAAATAATTATCGGCGATTACTAATAATTAGTATTTAAATGTGGATATGAATAAATATATTATGTAAAAAATACAGTAACTTTTGTAATTTTCAAAAATTTATTTTAAATAATTTAATTCTTAAAAGTTTGTTTTTTATATTTTTATATGCTAAAATACATAGGGGTAATAACATATACAACGATAATTAAATTACCAGAGAATGTCATTTTGTGCTACATTATTTTTCCAAATTTCCTCAAACTACTATTAGTATGGGCATAATTTTTAATTTGTTTTAATTTTCTATAAAGGAAGCTTTATTAATTATCCTCTGTGTACATTCTATACCATATCTATTATTTGTTGTCAGTTTTATAAAATTACTCAACTGGGTACAAATTGCTTTCCTCATCTATAATTAAAGGGCTCTTGGGAGTACATCGGAAATTCGATGATGATGATAAACAAAAAAGATAATTTAATTAAGGCAAAGTATATTTGCACACTGCAAAATGAGAGGGTAAATGTTTTTCCCTTTAATGGTCGAATAAAGTGGTCTCAAACTAATGTTACAGGTAGGGGTGGGTAAAATTTCACTATACATTAGTTTTTTTATTTTTATCTATACATTTTATGGACATATGTCCCATTAACTTCCTTTTATATTCAGATCTTTTTGTTTAGGAAAGTACATATTAGTTTTGTTTGAAATTTGAGTAAAAATAAACCGTTTCTCGCTGTATTTTTATAAAAATATACCAAAGTTGTGGGCGCAAATGCAAATTCCGTGCTTTTTTGTACTTTATTCTTTTCATTAGTAAAGAACTGAGCACTAATTCTAATTAATCTAATGTGCTTACTTTTCATTGCATGTTGCCAGAACAAGGATAATGCTGTTGTAGGTTCGCCCTTTTTTTAAACCTTGACGTAACTTCATTTGGGTTTAATTAATAAATGTGATTGTACTGTTCTGTAGTAAAATTTGTGATTTCCGTGTTTGATTTAAAAGTACTATTTTGCCCATTTTTTAATTAAACTTTCATAGATTTTATTTTGATTTCATAATTTAGCTCCTGGTAAAAACGATTGCTAATAAAATTGCTTACAGCTATAAAAAAATCATTAAATTCTCTGAACAAATGTTGATGTGAGGCATATTTACAAATAATCTGATAACGTACTTTATTCAAATGAATAGGTGCTTATTGGGAAAGTTATTTTAATAATAGGAGTACCTTGGATTTGTTATTGATTCATACATAACGTTCATAAGAGATAAAATTACCAATAAAACAGTTTATTACACTATTTCTCTTTATTTCAGTTTTAAGATGGTCCGATATCTGGCAAATTTAGTTCTCTTTCGTCTGGTATTCCCCCTCATCATATTAATATGTAAGTATTAAAAACTATAAAATTTAAATTTCAGTGAAATTTAGCATAATTATTGTGGGTCAAACGAATGCTTTGCGAAAGCGATAGTGCATCCTGGCGTTATTTGTTATTCAATTTCCCCAAGGGCAATCAATGAAAGACCTGGCCCATTCATAAAGGGCCGGGAGACGTTGCTGAAATGTGTGCCGATAACCTTTTATCTTTGTAGGACAAGGGTGTGTTTTCTTATTATCAGTTTTTAAGCAGACAAATCAATTCCAAGGAGAAGTAAAAGGGAATAAAACAGGAGATGTCCATTTGCTAAAAGAGCTATAACTTTGAATTGTTTGTAAAAGAAAATGATCAAATTATTCTTATCGTTAAGATCATAGTAAATTAGAGAATGCAATCGCACTCACTCTTTTTGTTAGTGCTAAAATTAGGCATATGTGTTGATAAATAGTGGATTTATCTAATAAGTAGGTAAATATGTAGATGAATCATCTACCGTTGTAAAAACAATTTTGTGTAACAATTTTCCATAGATTTTACATTTGACGAATAGTCAATGAGATTCCATTGTTCTTGAACTTCTCATTACCTTGAGTGGATGGACATGTAGGTGTGAATTAAATTATGTTTGCGTTAAATTTTATAAACAATTTCGCTTAAAACAAATCCATTATGAACTGTTTCAGTTGTAAACTATATGCAATATGTGTAGTTTTGAGATTTATGTTTTCTATTTTCAACGATGAGCATAATCAATAAATACATTTGCTATCAGTATCGTAAAATGTATAATGAGTTTACAATAAAGTTCATTTTATGCATCACAATAGGAATATTTGTTGTATGTATGAGTAAATAAGACATTGAGGTAATAGAGATTTTATACGTTCGTCCTATTTTCAAAAATTTCAGTTATTTAATAATCTATTTTTAGAACTAAAGTAGCGTGTTTACATTGGTAGGAAGTAGGAATATAACGTTTATTTCGTCGAATTAATTTCTTTGTAAAGTTTATTATAAAAAAACTAAGTTTAATGTTATTTAAAATTTGCTTATGCATTCCGATAAATCTACTCCTTCGCTCATGTTTTCTATTTTTAGATGTTGTATAATTTGTGCGAGATTGAAAAATTGTTTGATAATATTTTATTTGTTGAGATTGTGATGGTTTTTTCACATAAAATAGCAGTTAATTTTTTATTAGAGGAAATCATTTATTGTATAAACCTTGTTTATTTCGAGCTAATTAAGTTTTCTTACAGCAGCAATTACTGATAATCGAATGATTCATTTACATTTACAATGTAACACATTCGCGTACAACTCGAGTTTACGAATCATGTAATATACAAAACTCAGTTTGTTAACGCTCCAATTATCTCCTGTCTCGTGTGACCGACTTTTTAAGGGCTGCGGCATTTTACCGCGAATTGTTCGGCCCCTACATAACAGAGGCAGGGCGGGTCAGGATAACCGGAATGGGGCCGCTTACCGGCGTGTCATCGCATTGTCGATTTTACTTTCCATTTTCCTCGGAAACACACCTTAGTGCTGCGAAGAGGAAATGCCAGGAAATATAATGAAGCGGACCCTATTCCAGCAAATGGGGCCGCTTCGAGCCATTGTAAAAGTTTTGCATTCGGTTTGGTTGTTTGCATTACCTTCTGACTAAAAAGTACCCGGAAATTCTGATTTAAATTACCTGCACTTAATATTTTCAACTATTTCAAGTTTCTGTAGGTATGTAGGTAACATTGTTCTTAATTAGAATGCAAAAAATTAGAGATATTTCTTAACCAGTTTGGTTGTAGCAGCTGATTGAATCAGTTCATCTCAGTAGTGCTCTGCGAATTTTGCAATGGACAAAAATAATGAACAAAGCGTTTGTCTCATATTTTGGGCTTTGAATGGAATTTCGTGGGCCAAATCGATGCAAATGTTTAAGGTGACTGTTTTACCGAAAACCCATATTTACGAATGGTACAAAACTTTTAAAGACAGTCGGAAAATCCCTAATGACTTGCCTTGTTCTGGACGGTCTTGGATCTCTTCAACCAATGATAACAGTGAGGAAATGAAGGAAATTGAATAAGAAAATCATCATGCTAGTATTAGAGAAGTATCACGTGACCTCAACTTCTCCCGTAAAACCGCTCGTTTGATTTTGCTAAACCAATCAGATATGCTGATTCTTTAGTTGAGCCGAGTTTCTTCAAAAAACGATATCGTCAACTGGTCGATGCAGATATGCTGGTTCGTGTGAAGTATCATCGACCAGCCGCCTTACTCACCAGATATAGCCTCATGCGACTTTTTTTTTGTTTCCCAAGCTCAAATTGTCACTCCGGGTATCCCGTTTTGACTCCCTAAATGCCATCAAAGAAAATTCGCAGAAGGAGCTGAAAGCCGTACCAAAAAGGGCCTATAAAAAGGTTTCGATGATTGGAAAAGGCGTTTAACTATGTGTATCGCTTTAAAAGGAGCATATTTTGAAGAACACCCAAGAAATTTTAAAGAATATTAGGAATTTTGCATTTTGTTCCAAATTTCCGGGTACTTTTTTGTCACAGTAGTATGATCAATATTACGATAGAATTGGATATAACTGCTAAATATGACATCCAGAACATAGTAAACGTAATTATAAAAAATAAATGAAAAACTAAAAAGTTTGATTACCTACCCTTATCCCACAGCAATCTAGATCAATTTTATCTAAGGTCAATTTTATATTATTATGTCAAAAATCAGTAAGCCTTGAATGTCAAAATTGAAGTTTGACGTGGAAATTTTGGTCGAATGGAAATGAAACTTAATAATTGTTCTTTTTTTTAGGTCTCTTATTCCGACCGTCGCTCTTTTCCTTCATTTATTTGTTGTTTATGTTAATTATACCGTTCGTACCTGTGCCAACTCCGGAAACAATAGTCGGTTCTACGGGGAATTTTTTGAAAGGGATTTTCGGCATAACTTGCATCCAGTTGGTCTTGCAAGCGTCCTTTCAAATAGCCCTAGTTTGCATGTCACCGTATGCAGAACTCTTTATGGTGAGTAAATTACATACTATTTCCTCCATCCTACATGGGCATCTAATGATGTTATTGTATTTGTTCTGACACCGGCTAAACTTGAACAAAAAATATCCTCAAGGATTGCTCAATCCAACTCGCATGTTATCGACAGTTCCGAATATGTTTGGAGCGTTCCAAATGGTTCTAGACAGTTGTAGAGGGAGGATAGACAGTTTAAATGGTTCTGGAGCGTTCTAAATCGTTCTAGACTAGATAGTTCCAATTGATTCTGAATCAATGATTTATTATTTTCATATTGCTGGGTAACAGGCGAAACTTTTAGGTAAAGTGCTCTCATTTGCAATTAAGTTTGAGCAATCTCTTGGTTAGCCTTGCATGTCAAAAATGACAGATATTTAAATTTGTTTTCAAAAATTGTTCGCTCTTTTAAATTTTACAGTAATTATATTCAGAAGCGATAGTTAAATATGCAAACGGTTGAAATAACGACGACTTTCAGCTGATAGCGTTCGTAATCGCTTGTTATTCAAGGACTTTTTACCGGTATTTTTGATTTTGTATCAATCTTAAAAATAGAACGAATTTATTCAATAGTGTAGGTAAATAAATAGGTATGCTAAAAAGATATTAAAAAAATAAGGCGCTCTGGAACAACTTTAATTTATCTATACACATACGTGCAAAATTGTTTGCAATATAGCCAATTCTATGAGTAGAATAAAGAAAGATTATTAAAATAACAGTGGTTAGAGTGAGAAAGTTGCAATCCCACAATGTCGCTCTTTCCTTTTCCTTTATATGAGACTAATAATTGAAGTTGCCTTTGTTGCAAAGAATTTTCCATCTACTTTATTAATTTATTATTAAATAAATATTTAAATATGTATATGATTTAATACATTTATCATAACATGAATAATTACTTATCTAACTGGAATTTAATAACATAACTGACCTGGTTTAAGGCAATTTTTCCTCTCTTGTTTTCAGCATCATCCGTTAATAGAAGTAATTTTTCGATATGTAGGAATAGTAAGACTGGATAATCTATCAGTAACGTACATTTTAATATGGATAGGGCCGGAGATAATAATGTTCGTCGCCACATTGGCCTTTTTGATAACTTTTAAGAAACTAAATACCAATGACAGTCTCATTGTGCGAAGCGAAGCCGGAACGATTCGAATAGAAGATAGAAATGAAGTCGGCTCGCAGGTTACTTTGGGCCCCAAGGCGCAAAATACTGATTACACGCAGTATTTCGTTGCTTTTGGTGAGTAATTTATGCTATATAATATCCATCGATTCCATTGTCGGATGTAATTACCCTGTTTTATTGCAAATGCTATTAATTTCATTGTGCAGTAAAGTAACTACACTTGGTGCAAAACAAATATCAATGCACGTCACTACTGTCGTCATACTTGCCAAGCATTGGGCACAACTTTTAAAAATAAATACACAAAATATATTAAGCTTAATACCTGCAGAATTTAATTTAATTTTAACAAGGAAAAATAGAAAATGTTAAAAAGCAGGAATAAATCATCCAAAAAAATATCTTGTCAAAATTCAACGACTTGCTTTTTTATGGCTTCTTACTAGCAAATACTTATTTTAGGTCGATACTTGATATTATTAATGCTGTGTCTGGCCGGAGTCGTTAGACCTTCCATCGAAGCGGGAATATACTATCTGTTCTTTTTGGCTATAGCCTCGTGGTGGGCAAGTTACAAGCAACTTAAAAGAGGATTCGCCAAAGTTCTTAGGTGCCTTATACCTTTAGTAGTGTTGCATTTGATTGCGCTGTACGTGATTAATTTTAAAATCGTCCAAGAACAAATACCCGAAGACGGACGCTACTCGAGGTATTTTAAGAAACTTGAATAGAGAGAGTCCCTTTAATTCATTGGTAAATGCTTTTTAGATATTTCGATTTACTGCCATTCGTAACGGACGTAAGTAACGCGAATGCAACGTATCGTGCAGGGAATCCATCTATGTTTCACTCTAATCCGATCGAATATACATTGAAAAATGAATCTACATTGGAGGCGCCTTCAATTGGAAATAACAGCACCGACGTTTCTTCCTTTGAGATCCAACCTTTCGAGACTTCTACTGATCCAAGGATTTTTCTGTTTTATTTCCATAGGGACATTACGTTTTACATATACCCTGCCATACTGTATATGCTGTATTTCCTTTTAGTTCTGGAGAGCAAGGAACTGTTGAAACCTGAGGTAAGAGTAAATTCACTTTAATTATGATTGTATTAATCAGATTTCTAATGCAAACGTAAATTTCTAACTATGCAAGCCAAAACTGATGGTAAGATAGAGTGGACTAATTGAAGATCTACGAGGAATAATTCCTTTGTCAAACAGATTCTAATGTATTTAACAGCATGCTCTATCACCGTTCTTTATACTTCCTATTACTGAATAATATAGATGTCGTTGGTCGTGCTAAATAAATCGAAAGATCAGAGCAAACTATTTCAGCTTCGCTAACACGAAAACTAACCCCTTTTGCAGCAAAAGAAGCAAGGAAGTTCGTTTTCTCAAATTGAAGAAAAATTGACTCGTTCCATGTCGAGGAGATTGTCCAAAAAAAAGCTTTTAACACCGACGGCCGCTCAAAAATGGCAGAAAGCTTCTCGTAAAGTTCGAGTAAGCCAACAATTTAAATCATCTATTTATTTTTGTACAAAACGACATGTCATAGTGAATTCCTTGCACAACATTTACACGTTTTTTCGGGGCTTTTTAGTAACGGTTTTCGGCGGGCTTTTATTTAACCCGATTTATTTCGTTTTCATTTTGTGTTTACTAATTTTTTATGCTTTGCTTTCTTTTCATTATTTTTTAGAGCGCTATAGCGAAAGGCAAAACCGAAGCGAACGAAAGGACTCCCGTATGTATTTTTATTTTTTTATATATTTATTTCATATATTTTTAATTATTTGATTTTGTCGGTGAAGGATTGAGTTTAGCACTGTAAAATGCAGAATTTGGTTCTCATATTTGTTCGTTTATTTATCGAACCAAGTTCTGGATTTTCTTGGGAAAATTAATATGACTAAAATTTCACGCTTTTGTAGTACACCAAGATTAGATTGTTAAATGCATCAAAACAAAATTTGATTGCTGTAAAATAGAAAAAAAAACTTCCATTCGCATTTAACAATCTAATTGTACAATCGAACGGATTCCAAATAAAATAATTTTCTAGTTGCTCAGAGGCGTCAGTCCCAAACGTCGAAATAAAACCCCCAACAGGTCATCCCTGCACCAAGACTCCACCGGCAGCGTTACCGTGAATGAAAACGAGGACATACAAATGGAAATCTTCGGTAAAGGTTATTGTGATTGAGTAACGTACGCAATTTAAATATTTGACAATATTTTTTATTGGTTTTTAAGAGGACGAAGAGGACTACGATTTGACGTTTTTCCACAACGTTATTTTCGCTCTAGAAGCTATCATACAGAAAGTTGTTCGTTCGTCTTATATCGCTACAAATATTATCATGATGGTAATATCCTAACCACATTAATTTCTCTTCTATTTAATGTAATTTTCTTTGATGTCAGGCGTGGAGTATAACCTACTTGAGTTGGTTAACCTTCGTGCTACTGCTTTGGGCGAACATCATCTGGTTAATACCCAATCAGCGGAAACGCATGTTGACTTCGAGCCCTTTTCTCGTACTGTATGCCCTTTTCCTTCTAATATCCGCTTATATTTACTCGATAAACCTAACGGAGGAGGAGTTACCTTCGATGGCACAAGGCGTGGATTTGAAGGAAATAGGTTTCAAGAAACCCGAGGGCCCGCCTTGCATTCCTCTGCTGGTGAAATCGTTGTACACTGTGATGTTTTGGATCACGCTCAGGCAGTACACGCAGGAGGAGTTGGAGAAGAGACAGACCAGCGCTTTGGCGGATATGGTGGCTCCCTTACAGGTTACTGTAGGTGCTGCAGGTAAAATATCTAATTTAACTAGCGTATTTTAAAAAGTATGGTGATTGTAATTGCTTGTTTTATTGAGGAAATGATCGATTTAACTAACTACAATTTTTTATTTAGGTGTTAAGAAGGAGCAAGAGACGTCCGGCAGCGAATTAATGGCGAAAATTGGGAAATTTATACACAAATTTTTAATCAAATTTTGGATATGGGTCGTGGCTATTACTTTATTCGCAGTCGCCATAACGGGCCAGCGAATGACGGTCTTTAGGATTTTATACATGGCGCTATTTTTATTTTTCATTTTATCGTTTCAAGTGCGTACATTGACTTAGTTGTATCGCATAAATTATTAATATTGTCGTTTTTCCAGTTTTCCTTTAAAGTCTGGAGGAAAGTTATGTTCGGATTTTTATTAACCGTCATCATTTATTCGATGATAATATTAATTTTAATTTATACCTATCAATTCGATAAGTTCCCGGATTATTGGACGGATTATCTTCATATACAAATAGAACAGTGAGTACTCGATATTTTATACAGGGTGTCCCGCATAAGAACTGATACAGAGCAGGAGAGTGTAGGGGAGCCTAAAATATGTTGTTTTTAACCCAACTCTACTTAACACAGACAACTTTTGAATTATTGACGGTTATAAGTAACATTTAGGGTATTTTTAGGGTAGAAGGGTTTTAAAAAAGTTTTCAAATAAAATTACCTATTACTGAAATTATCTAATAATTTTTTAAATCATCTACCAGGTACCAGGTACTAAAAATTGTAACATTTTAAGGGAGCATCGTCCTTGATGAACCCTTTTAAATACATAGATTGGTCTTTCCTAACTATCGATTAATGCTCTCAGTACACTCATTAGAGCCTGGAGAAAAAACAAAATGCATGTAAAGTGCATACATACAAAAGTTCTAAACGATTCTAAGTTCTAAATGATTCTAGAAAATTCTTAATGAATCTGGAGCGTTACAAACGGTACTAGCCAGTTTTGAATGCTTCTGGAGCGTCCCAAATGGTTCTAAATATGTAGTTCCAAATGATTGTGGAGCGTTCTAAATGATTCTGGAGTGTTCTAAATGGTTCTAAGTAGTTCCAAATGATTGTGGAGCGTTCTAAATTATTCTCTAATTGACAGTTCTAGATGATTCTAAATATACTCTGATAGTCGGCATTTTATGTGTATATCTTTTTCTTTTAATAAAATTTTCGAATTTTTTACTTAAGTGCATATTTTTAAGGTTTTTAGTGTATATTTTGCAATTTTGGTAACGTATACCAAATATAGCTGGTTTAATATTGTAACTCCACATTTAAGTGCCATTACTTCTCAGGAATATAATTTTGTATTAAGTTAAGCTGTGTTAAACAACATATTTTGGGCTCCCTGTACGCTCCTGTTATCTATCGGTTCTTATGCAGGACATCCTGTATGTACATAATTTTAATAAATTGTAATTTTCAGGCAACACGACATAGGCTTGGAGCAGTATCAAACGAAGCAACTATTCGTACGACTAGTTACGCCTACGTTCTTTGTAATCGTAACTGTATTGCAATTGCATTATTTCCATAACGATTTTATGGAATTGACCGATATGAAACGTCGTTCTCTCGCTTCGGACAATACGAATAGAGAGACGGAAAATAACGAAGACGTCGATGACAGCTCTTTGCAAGGAGGAGCTTTTTTGGATAGAAGCGACATGTCCGCTCCCTCGAAATATTACACTGACGTTTCTTTCTACGATCTTGACGGTACGAACAATTTAGTAATAACAGAGCAGATATTAATTTTTATCGTGTTTCAGTGATACCATCGGAAGTGTTCAAAAAATGGTTGAAAAAGATTATATCAGTTCTCGTATACACCAAACATATCATCTACCTATTTTTGGAAATCCACATGCTGAAAATCGTACTGTTCTTCGCGATGTTGATGAGCGTTTACGACAAATGCGCTCTTTACATCATAATCGTATTACTTTTATCGATAGCCTTTACGTGCGGCAGGAATTGCCAAATTTTCGTTGCCTACTTCACGTCCCTGTTCGTTTCTCTGCTGATTTTGTTGCGTATGATATATCAAATATCGTACATCGATAGCACAAAATGGAACGTTACCTGCACTGTAAGTGAAATAAATATTATACAGGGTATTATCCAAATATTCACATCCTGAAGTATCGTCACTCAATTAATTAACACCCTGTATATCCTATTATTTTAATTGTTTAATGGATTCTCCAGGCTACTATAAATCCCAATGTCAACGATACGGTCGTCAATAACGGCCCGTGGTTGGGCTTCGATAAACTCCACGAAACCGAGGAAAATTTGCCGGAGTTGGTGAAATGGAATATAATATTCATAGTGGTGATGACTCTGTGGAAAGTCGTCGAAGTGAGACAGTACAATTACCGTTTATCTAGAGGACGCCCGACCACCAAAAGGTACTTCATGTTCCCGAAGACGACTAGAGAGGATGCAGACAAAAGTTTGAGTGACTTTTTCAAGTACATGGCGAATTTCGGCTTTTACAAATTCGGGTTGGAGGTAAACTAATTAACTTAGTATTAGAAATGAAGTGCAATGAATAATTGAATTTTTAGATTAGTTTCATACTCGTTGTGATGCTAATTGGAGTCAGGATGGATTTGTATTCGTTGATTCACAGTATATGGCTTTTAGCAATGTTTGGTTTAGCAAGACAAACATTATCCAGACTTTGGCCCGTTTATTTAATATTCATAGCCTTTTCGATACCATTCCAATATTTCATGGCCATTGGTTTACCACCGAGTTTATGTATAGGTACGTACGATTCGATGACTTTTTGTTTAATTTATAATCGTGCTAAAATTTTAGAATTCCCTTGGGATAATCCTACTCAAACGATGAAAAACTTGCAAGATTGGGCCTTCCTTCTCGACACCTATACACCTCCGATAGTCGAAAAACTCGTCTTCGATTTTCTGTTGCTCGTCGGCGTGTCGCGCCAATGGTTGGTATTTAGAATAGAAAAACGTTACGAGGGACAGAATTATGCCGGTGGATCCAACGAAAGTATAATCCACAATGCCGAAGAAAAGGATTTCGTCAATCCCGTGCCAGATTTCATTACATACGTCAGGTAAATAATAAACATTACAGCTAGTAAGCATTTAAAATAACACTTTTGTTTTTAGATCTTATTTAGATATAGCCAAAAAAGCAGTTCTACAAAGTTTCTTATGGGTAACGTTGGCTGTAGTATTCTTAGCGGGTACTTCTCGCGTAAACATATTCTCAATCGGCTACTTACTGTTTGCGTTCCTCTTTTTATGGCACGGTTCCGATTTTTACCTGAGACCTATACACAAAATTCTATTTTAGTAAGTTGATCTCGACAACCACGAAAACCTACAATTTCTTATAAAATAATTTCAGCTGGAACAGACTGCTCGGCTTCAACGTGACGGTGATACTCTGCAAATGCATCTTCCAAATTCTAGGATGCATATTTCCGCACGAAATTTCCTTGTCTTACTGTTGGCTGATTCAAATATTCGGCATCACTTGCGTCAAAAACTTTGTTCACCACAAGAACTTGCTGAACTTAGCCGAAGACGATGTGGATAACGTTTGCAGCATAGCGAAAGACGGCCTAACGTGGGACGTGATTTGTTTCACGCTGTTGATTTTCCAAAAGCGCCTGTTCAACAGCTACAACTTCTTCCATATCGCCGACGATGCCAAAGCTACTGCTATATTGGCCTCTAGAGGTACATAAGTAGCAATGGGAGCTTGTACTGATAACCATTAATAGACGATAAGATGTTGATCGTTGGAGGCTTTACATTTTTTTTGTGTTTAGGAGCTGAACTGATGGAGGAAATGCGAACGAAGACGATGAAGGATCAGGAAGAGACGGAACGGAGGGTGCTCGAAAAAATAAGGGAAAAAATGGAACGGATTAAAGCGAATCAGCAGAAAATACAAGGTGAAAAATTAAATACTCCCCAAGTCAAAGGTGAGTGAATGATGGATTAATCACGAAAGGTGATTGTGTTTTGTATTTACAACGTACCCTGCACCTAACAGATAATTAAAAGGTCATAAGGTGATTATTCCATCTATTCAAAAAACAAATTAACAATTTCAGCTTTCGTTGTCTAGTTCCTTTTACAGTTGGTACAAAACAAATATCAATGCACGTCACTACTATCAATGTCGTCATACTTGTCAAGCATAGTGCCGAACTTTTAAAAATAAATACACAAAATAGATAAAGCTTAATACCTGCAGAATTTAATTTAATATTAACAAGGGATGATAGAAAATGTTAAAAAGCAGAATTAAATCATCCAAAAAATATATACTTTTAAAATTCAACATTTGAATATAAAATTATTCTTATTATTTTCTTATAGTAGGTTGGTAGGCACTGACTGTCAAATTGCATAGTTGCCGTTGTCATCCGATCGGTACTTTTAATTTTTAATTTCTTCTTTTTAGTAAACTTTTTTCTAGTTTACAATTTGTGCACTAAATAATTCAGATTCAGAAGTTTTCTAAGACATTTCACTATATACTCTTTTTAGAGCCCATTGTACAAGTTTGGCAACACTGCCTACTTGTGACTCAGTAAATCATAGGTGACGTACATTGATGTTTGTTTTGCACAACTATAGATATCAGAGGAAACTATAATACAATAATACAATTAATTAATCATCTAGGTTGTGGGTGCGAACAAAACAAACAAAATATCGTTTCATAAACGCGATTTAAACATTTTCTGTGTGTCCTAGCAGCAGCTCCTTTAGCGAAATCTTCGTCGGCGACATCCTGTAGCTCGACGATGACCCAACAATCGGGCTACCACACGCCGATAGACGACGAGGAACCGGCTCCTCTAACTCTAACGCCTCGTAGCTCTTTGGTCAATCCCCAAGCGCCTCCCTCTCCCTATTCGGCCGTCATGACCGTTTCTCTCGAAGGTTACCTAGATCCTCAGCGGATGTCGTTCTCCTCTCCGCCCAATTCGGAAATGAACCCGCGCATTTCCTCTCCCGACGACAGTTTCCCGGTGTTCTCGCCGCCTCCTTACACGGAAGCGCCCACTGTCGTCACGGAAATCGCGGTGCGCAGGGCCGATGACGAGGAGGAACGTACCGATCGAAGGCGAAGTACCATAGGGCCGCATTGGATGCAAGGCAGTCTTGTCACGCCCAGGCAGAGCATTATTTCTTATTCTTCGCGATCGCCGTTGAGTCATCACGAATGTAATTTCTTATGTCGGTTATTCACGGAGCAGTACATAATATGCTTTAGATTTGTTTATTTTTTCTGTTTTTAATTCGAATCGTTTTGTTCTATGAGTTTTTTGTGAATATGTAAAAATATGATTCCTTGTGTTATTTTTTTTTGGATTTATTTTTGCTATTGTATATAGCAATTTTTTCTTCATATTTCTAAAGGATTTTGATGGGAACCACTTACTTTTGGAATTGTTCTAATTTTCTGAATACTATTATATTTTGCCTTAACGAATCGTGATACGAACAACGATAATTACTTAATTTTAACAATAATAAAGTTTACTAAACTCAATTTATTCCTAACTAGGTAAACGGTTCAACTTGGGATATTACTTTACTCACGCAATTTAAGGGAGCTCGATTGCGTTTCGAGGTTTTTTTACTGTAATATTACTTCCTCCATCTCCTTTTTTATTATTTTGTAATATTCTAATTTTTCTTTTCTTCTTAATTTTTTGTACAGAGTCCAGCTTTAGTGGTAGGCCACGCTATCGTAGCCACACACCAAGAACACACCCGGCCGGTAATTTATTTATTTTTCTTTGTTAAGGGCTTGCAGACGGGTTTTACATGCATGACATATATTTTATTGATTTCTATTTGTATATACAAAGGCGTTACTGTATTTATTACTTAAGATATATGTTTGGAGAGTACTTTTATTAATAAGAAGGTTTCTTTTATAATAGCGTTATGAAGAATTAATTTATGCATAATTTTCGTTGGCTACGTTTTCATTTTACAATTCAAAATACTACCCTTTTCCCTATTTGTAGATATAGTAGATACATCTTTCATACACATTTCACTTCATGTTGTAGTATTCTTGTCACTAACACTGGCATTAAAATATTTAACATATTTGTGCTTTTTTGCATGATTTTAATTTTGGAAGATTGTTTACTAATAATAATATTAGCTAATAGAAAATGAAGAATTTGTAATTTTTCGCTTAAAATGCACAGCATGCTTGAATGGCTAGAATTTCCTCCAGCTTTGATATTTTTAATAATCTAATCGATTTCTCACTAGCTGTTCGTTCGGGAGATTACTACATGTTCGATGAAATTGAAAATGACGACATAGATCTTTTACCTGAAGAGAAAGAGTCAATCGACGAACTCGATGAAGGACCAACGCCTTACCTGGCTGATGTGAGTATTTTTTATATTTTTTTGGGTTTATTTAATTTACGGTACTTTTTCCGTATGTGCTAGTAACTGATTACATGAATTGAAGTTTTTATGGTTTAGTTTTTATATGTGGGCGGGTTGTATCTAATACTTTCTAGGATGAAAAATTGGTTTGTGAAATGTTACATGTAGAATAATGTAGTTTGAGCATATTGGTTAATGTATTTAGCGGTAAGTCATTTGTAATGTTCGTTTTGTTTATATTTTTAATTTTATATCTACTGTTGGTTCAAAACAAATATCAATGCACGTCACTACTGTCGTCATACTTGCCAAGCATTGTGTCCAACTTATAATAATAAATACACAAAATAGAGTAAGCTTAATATCTGCAGAATTTAATTTAATATTAACAAGGGATAATAGAAAATGTTAAAAGGCAGATTTAATTCATCCAAAAAAATATCTATTGTCAAAATTCAACGTTTGTATATAAAATTATGATTATTTTCTTATAGAACGTTGGTAGGCATTGACTGTCAAGTTGCATAGTTGCCGTTGTCATCCGATCGGTACTTTTAATTTTCAGATTCAGAAGTTTTCTCAGACATTTCACTATGTACTCTTTTAAGGGTCAATTGTACACTAAATTTTTTACTCGCACCCTTAAATATATTTCAGATGGTAAACGAATTTGATGATTAATTATAGTGAGCCCCTGAATACGTCCGCCACTTAGAAATGTGAAACAGGTACTCCTAATTTTTAATTTGTTCTTATCATTTTGCCAATTTTTGAAAATTCTTAGATTTTGTAAACTTTATAAAAGTTCAGCAACCCTGCCTACTTGTAACGTAGTAAATCATAAGTGACTTGTATTGATATTTGTTTTGCACCAACTGTAGTCGAGAACTACATTACCAAATTTATTTGCAAACATATTTAGGAGTTGCAACGCAACTCGCCCTTGTTTTTTACCTGTTTGCACTGGTTTTGTTAACGGTTTTAGAGCACTTAGTTTGAGAATTTCCCCGGCCCACTTTCCAATTAACCACGTTTTCCTTATTCTCCGTTTTTTACATGATCTCGTCTAGCTCCTGCATCACGCTATAAAAGAAGACGTCCATACTGCCCTGCGTTCGCGCTCCCAAATGGTCATGGAATCCAGGACGGGATTACAAAGGCAGGCTTCAATGCCTGTTAGAGATAGACCTAAACGTCCCCAGTTAACAGCCACGGTTTCCGCTCCTCCTACAGTGAGTTGGAATTGTTGGTCGGAAAACGTTGAAAAATATAACGTTTTTCGGTCATAAAGTTCCACTTAAAATTTTATTTACTAGATGTTTCGCGCAAATTGGTGCTCTCATTACATCTCTGCTTTGTGTAGTGTTTATGTTTTTTTAGGTACTGCTTTTTTAAGTGTATTTAGAAATGTATTGTGTTGCGTTTTCTATGTTTTATTTGGTGTTATTTCTATTTATAAAATAGAACTTTGGCTGCATTAAGTACGCAATTACCTTTTATGACAGGTGTACTTGACTAAGCTTTGTTTTTACGTTTTTTTGTTCGAAAGCTTGCAAAAAGGAACAGTTCTTTCTTCATTCACAATTTTACTGAACTATCTTCTATCTATAACAGCTACAATACTATTCAAACTTTAACGGATTACTTAATTTACAAAGAACTGTTCACTAAACATTTTAATGATTCATTAGCGATCACTTTTGTATGTAATTTATTTACTTCAGATAGCAGAGCAAGAACCGAAAAGCGTTAGAATACAAGACGATGCCGAGCCGAGCACTAGCCAACAACCTGATGAAGATTTTAGTTCGTTTACTGAAACTGAAAGTTAGTAGATTTTTCTACTCGCCATCAATATCTTCATGGATATATCGTACTTTTTAGAGAGAAAGCCATTACAGAAAATATTCGCCTGTTTACTCTTCCTATGGGCGTTTATCGACGGTGCTATGGTCAGTTTGACGCGGTATTTGAACAAGTATTCTCGAAACTACAGATTGATTTTGAAAATATTGTCAAAGGAGAAACGAATTCTGAAGGTATAATTAGTTATTCATGTTTTTATTTTTTTAATACTGTCTTTATTGTTTGTTAATAGGAACAAACTGATTATAATATCGGTATTCGAACGGGAAAAGAGCAGATATGGCATCCAGCGGGATCATTCCATACCCTTGTCAGGCATTCAAAGTAAGTTGATTTAAATAAGTAACTTTTGAAGACAGTCATTTTTATGAAACGATTTTATTTTGACTTAAAACTGTTTCAAATAGTTTTTTTTGCATTCATGCGATTGTTAGATTTTTTTAGTGATTAGTTTAGTGTAGAAATTAGAATTTTTTATTTAGCGAAGGAACACTCGTCCTATCCCAGTCAACACCAGCATTGTTTAGTCCTGCAGATTCTTTTAGAATGTCGTCTATAAGGTGTGTCCACATCTTTAATTTTCACCTTTAATTCTCCTCTTCTTAATTACTTTTTCTTCTTATTTTTGTGTCCGAATATTTTCACGAAACCAACTGACATTTTTGTACATATTGGTTAACTTGAGTCTATAAATTAAGCACACTTTCCTCCACATTGAAACACTATTTTCCTAAAAAAAACTCTTTCGTTCACAGCACGTTTCTGTCGTTTTCTTGATCGTTGTTTTACCTAATTCATCGAAATGTTTGTTTTTTTTTCGAAACTCGCAACGTACAGGCCAAACTCGATCCGCAGCTGCGTGAGCGAGGAGGAGAAACCGCCGTTGAGCGAAGACAGCGATACTAAAGCGGTGGCACCGTCGTTACCGTGCTCGCCAGAAGTGGATAGGTACTTGTTCTTCGCTACAGTCACACTCTTTGTTTCCTTTTTAACTCACACAATCGTTAACAGATTTGTTCGATTTTAGTAGTTTATTTTGTTAACGTAGGTGAAACTATTTCTTGCGATTGTTGTTAATAGAATAGCTATATTTCGTTATCAACGTAGTTTTGGTAGTTATTCTATTCACATTCGATTTGGTCGCTATAAGTTGTATTGCACCAATTTTAGCATTACTTAAATGAGTTAATACACTAAATTAGAAAGCATTGGTGCTTTATACAACTACATCGTATTAACATTTATTTCATATTTTTCTTTTAACTACTTTTCATTAATACAGATATATGAAGTAAATGTTGGTAGGAATTTATCTTATTGAATTTCATAAATAGTAGAAAAGTAGTTTGGCTGTACGCCTTTGTATATGTTGGCTGTAGGCGCAAGGCCAGCGTTTTGACAGTACCGGAAATTCGAATTTTGGCCGCAAGCTTGGAACGTGGATTAGATTCTCCATGTTCGCCATGTTCATCCAGGTAATAGGCGTATAATCGTCGTGCTTTCGCTGTTTTGCACGGCTTTCGAGTCCTGTTCAGTTTCGTAGTTACGATCTCTAAGTCTGTCTTGGTTATTTTTAGTTCTGTACCATATTTTAAGCTTGTTATTGGGTTTTCATTTTGTAATGAAATTGTTATTTTATACAGAGTAAGGAAAACGGAAAGAAAAAAGAGTGGTTTTTGTCCATGGACTCCATTGAAAATTTCATGTTTGTTTCACAAAATTTAACTAAATCCTCGTAATAACTTAAGATTTTCGAGATTCATAAGTTAGAATTTGTGGAGATTATTAAATTTGTCGATTTTTATCAAAATTGATAACACGATTGGCTTCCCTTGTAATGTAATCTAGCACAACTAAATCTTTTTATTCAAGACCAAAAACTATATTGTATAATTTATTATTATTGTTGTATAAATTGTTGTTTTGAATAAGTGCTTTGTGTATTCAGTTTTTATTTAATATTGCTTGCCTTAATTTCTTAATTTTTAATTTAATTCCGTATATTTTAAAACGAAATAATTACTAATAGGTACTGGATTTGCATTCGTGCACACATTAATTGAAGCTAAAGTAACCATAATTGGACCAGTATCTATTATGTATTTAACAATCTTAAATCATCAATTATTTTTGCAAAATTTCATTAACTGTCTCAAATATCCTATAAAAGTATACTTCCTTTTCAGAGCTCTTAACAGCCCCCATAAATCCAACATTTCCATATTATTTGCTAATGTACAATTTACTTTTTTAGGAAATCCGAGGATCCAGAGGGCAACGAGGGCAACGCCTACCTGGAGTACGGTGACGAAATGTCATCAGTGGACCAACCCACCTTCTTCCGGCTCGTTCTGGCCATATGGTACCTGATAATGAGCAGATCCGAAATCGTATGCTACTTCGTCATATTCATGAATCAAATGCGAAACGCCAATTTGATTTCGCTGCCGCTACCTCTGATGGTCTTCTTCTGGGGATCCCTGACCATACCGAGACCGTCGAAGACCTTCTGGGTGACTATAATCGCCTACACGGAGGTGGTGGTGCTTTTGAAATGCCTATTCCAATTCGACATCATGCCCGGGAACAAAGTCAGAGCACAAACTGAGTTTATAACATCGGTGACGGCGCAGAACCCGTTCTATCCGCCTGTTTTGATCGGGTTACACAAGCAGGATAGCGTGCAGGCTATGTGGGATCTTCTATTATTATTGGTTGTATTTTTCCACAGGTGCGTGCACGTTTTAAAGGCTAGTTGATGATGATTTAAATAAATTTTTATTTGTAGGGTTCTATTGAAATCAATGGGCATTTGGAGTTCCTCTGCTCCTGTTTCGACAGTTCTTCTTGAAGACGGCCAGTACAAAGTTGTTGGCGAAAATTTTATAGCACTAGAAAACGAGTATGTTCCTCATAGCTATTAAGGTACTAATTTAATAATTGTTTTTTTTTGTAGAATCGATGAAGAAAGTGAAGATGAAGATGAAGAAGAACCATCTAATGCTGTGAGCAAACGAAAAACTGATAATTTGCCCATTAATGAAAATCAAGATGATGTGGTTGTGATTAAGAGTAGGAGATTAAGTAAAATTCACAATGCCATTTCAACAGTCCGTATGGGGTAAGTGAAAACAAATTTGCCTTGCGTGAAAATATAATTTAACTAAATTGTTCTGATTCTAGCATGACCAAATACGCTGAACATATGAGGTTGTTCATTCAACAATTACTAGATCCTACATCTCGTGTAACGGCCGATGTTTATTCTCTGATGTTTTTGTGCGATTTCGTCAATTTCTTTGTTATTCTTTTTGGATATTCGGCTTTTGGGGTAATCCACTTTATTTTTTTAATTACATAAAATTTATATACTATATTTTTTAGTCCCAACAAGACGGAGATGTATCGTCTTATTTAGAAGACGATCGAGTACCACCTCTCTTCCTATTCATGCTAATACTTCAATTCACGATGATAATAGTGGACAGAGGAATTTACTTAAGGAAAAACATATTAGCGAAAATAATATTCCAATTTACCCAAATCATCGTGCTCCATATTTGGCTGTTCCTATTATTCCCCATAATAACTCGAAAGTATGAATCAAACCTACTTCTTCCATTAGGTATATATAATGGTAGTTTCTTTCAGATATTGCAACAGTCTTATACCTCCACAAATCTACTATATTTCGAAATGCATCTACCTCTTGTTGTCGGCTTATCAAATCAGGTGCGGTTACCCGACCAGAATTTTAGGAAACTTCCTGTGCAAAGGTTACGGTTACGTTAACATGTTCCTCTTCAAAGGATTCATGCTCGTACCGTTCCTATTCGAGCTGAGAACGTGCATGGACTGGATGTGGACGGAAACATCGATGACGATTTTCGATTGGATTAAAATGGAGGATATCTATCAAAATATTTTCTTATTGAAGGTAAACGATGTTTCATCAGTTTTCTTAAGCTAACTGGAATATTTTAGTGTTCAAGAGAAGTGGAAGACGAGTTTCCCCAACCCAGAGCAGAAAAGAAGAAACCGCTGTCCAAATATATGATGGGAGGCGCTTTGTTAGCCTTAATCATCGCTATTATTTGGTTCCCATTAGTTTTCTTTTCGTTAGGAAACGCCGTGGGTAATCCGAACCCTCCGATAGATGTTACTTTGGAAGTTCGAATTGGACCTTACGAATCCTTGTACAAGATGAGTGCTCAGTCAAACAGCTCTATAATACAGTAAGCATATTAATTACTTTGCAACTTATACTCGCTTGACCTCGTAAACTATTTTTCTCAATATTTCCCCAAAACGTTTTTGAACGATATCACTAAATTTAAGAGAAGCGAAAAAAATCCAGAAAAAAGTGTATTTTGCTTTTTCGGATCGGGCGTGTCCGTTTGCATGTGATTCGATACTTTTTCCAGTCGAAAAAGACGACATAATTCTTATAAAGAAATGCGGTTTTTGGCAAGTTATTAGTAATAAATTGAAGAATATTTTAAGACATTTACAAAAAAATCGTCAGAGTACTTTCCGAGAAAATCCCGAAAACACAAAAAAAATCCAAATTCAGTCAGAAAATCTGATTGATGGTTTTAAAATATTGATTTTCCGATTGGGCGTGTTCGTTTACATTATTATCGGTATAAATGAATACAGAGAAAACTACATTATTTCTCGCTGTTACAGATTTACACCAAACGAAATGGAAGAATTCAGATCATTGTACAACGCTTACGCGGTTTCTGAAAACTTTATGTACAATTACGAAGCGGCAGACGTGGCTGCTATAAAGCTGAGCACGGATTCAGCGAATACCTGGGGTATTTCACCACCGGATAGGAAACGGTTAATAACAGAAGTTATGTCGGATAAACCGCTACCGTTTAGAATGGAGTTTAAAATAACGCACAAAACGAGCAAAGCCGAAGATTCCGGTATAATAATAAACGGCGTTGATAGTAAAATATATCCCAACACGCCGGCTAGAGAGAACCTGTTGAAGATGCTGCAACACCAAGGAAACGTGCAGTCGGTTGAATTAAAATACATTTTACCTAAGTTTATTAAAGTTACGAACAGAGGAACGGCTAATCCTATAGATGTTCTGATGTTGGAAAAACCGGGTAAGAAATCGCGAAATTTCCACGAAACATAATTTTTAATACTTTCTATTATAGATCCCGAAGCCAAAACATACAGAAACATAACAATAAACTTATCTACCGAATCCGATGCAGGGTTGAAACAAGAATGGTGGAAAATCAAAGAAGAATGCAGCGATTACAATTACTTAAACTTCCTCAACAAGATCACCCATAACGATTGCGAGAATTACATTATCCTGTACTGCTTCAACGATAAGGTGTTCCCCCCAACCTTAAGTTTCTTAACAGCAGGAGGGTATGTTGTATTCTATTAATTTTACACAGTAAATACTGTAACTTTGGCAAAAGAGATCTTTGTCTCCTCTACGCCTGTATTTGTCAAAAAGGAACATTTTCGAGTAAAGGGTTGCCTATATATTAATAAATTTGTACGTACCGAATAAGTTTTGTCAAAGTTACAATATTCACTCTAAGTATAAACTTGAAATTTTTACTCTAAAACTGTTACTTTTCTAGTATAATCGGTCTTTACACCACTATCGTTTTCGTGGCGTCTCGCTTTCTCCGCGGCTTCTTCGCCGACGGTTTTCCTAAAATCATGTTCGAGGATCTGCCGAACGTGGATCGCGTGCTGCGCCTCTGCCTGGACATTTACCTGGTGCGCGAGGCCGCCGAATTCGGCCTCGAAGAGGACCTCTTCGCCAAGCTGGTGTTCTTGTACAGGTCTCCGGAGACGCTGATCAAGTGGACGCGGCCGAAGGAGGAGGTCGCCGACGACGACGATCCCGAGGGCGAGGGTGCCGGAGCGGCGAATTAAAATTTAGGGGGTATTTTTGTAAAAGGGTGATTGGTGTTGTTTGTTTGTAGGGTCGCGGTTGAAGTGCGTTTGGCGGGTTGAAATTGAGGCGGTAAAATTAATGAATTATGAGTTGTGTACTTAATTTTATTAGTTTCGTTTGTTATTCGTATATTTTGGAAGGTTTTTTCACCACTTTTTAATTTTCTTTATTATTTCTATTTTTGAAAGCTTTTTTTCTACCGCCTTTCCTTTAAACTGAAATTTTTATTGAAGCGAATGTTAGGTGAATGAGAATAAAATATTTATGCTTTTGATTGCTTAATAACCGGTTTAACATTTGTTTGGTCTGAAAATTTATGCAGAAACTTATTTACTTAATCAGTAAGTAACATTTTCTGTTTTAAAAGTTATCGGTTATTTTACAATCAAATTTAAAATGTATATCAGTGTTTATTAAAAATATCATGAACTGACTTCCATTTGTGAATGTGTCGAATTTGTAGTGTTATACTATAAGTAATTTTAAGAATATTGTATTTATGTTGTTTACGAGTCATGATTTTTGCAAGTCGTAATTCTGTGATTTTTTTTCTGTTATTTTGGTTGAAAGTTTGTTATTTCTACCTTACTATGTTTTCTCACACATCTTGCTTTACAAAAACCATAATTTAAGTACCTACATTATGAGTTTTCTTTGAAATTATCTAAATGATTCTCAGGAAAATATAAAACTAGTCCTTAAGATATTTTTTGTATAAACTATATCACCTGTTGTTGGTTAAATGTTTATAAAATAGCCAGTGGTTTCCGATCTGACAAATTCGAATTTTTCTACTAAAGACTTTTTTATTTAATTTCTTAGGTATTTTTTAATTGCATAATTTTTGTTATAATTATTGTTGTCAATTTTTCCAAGCTCGAGGGAGTATTGCTTTAAGGAACAGCTTATTTAAGTTTTTGTGTAACTTACGAATAAGTGATATATTTATTTGTTTTTATACATCTATATAAAAGTGCACGTCGTTTTCGTAAAGAAATACATTTTTAACGTTTCTTTTAATAATTTCAGATTTTTCCCATAACTAAATCGTTACCCAGTACTTTCTTTCCTAGGATATTAACCTTGTATGGCCTTTATTTCCTTGTAATATATGGATTTATACATGGCACATTTTTCGAACAAATGGATGGAATTTGGCTGGACGACATGCCGAACGTGGACAAAATTCACAAACTTTGTATGGAAATATACCTAGTTCGAGAGTACCACGTTTGGGATATGGAACAAATTCTTTTCCAGAAATTGATCTTTATATTTAGATCCCCGGAAACAATTATAAAATTGACCAGAGATGAAGGGGATCCTTACAATCCCACGTTTATTTATCCCACTACACAAGATATTTTCTCCAGAAGACAAGCTGATGAGGACGCATCAGAAACTACTTTATAAAGAATTATTTATATAAATAGTAAATTCAGAAAGAAGGTAAGATTTAATAATATTAGTATTATTTACTTATAAAATATAAGAAATTTGAAGTACTGTGTATTTTTTTTTATACAGTTTGAAAATGGAGTTGGAAATAAAAGAGCATTTTTTACTTTCAGTCTTATTTAACAATTTACAACAATATTTTATTACAGTTTACGATATTTAAGCAAACAAAATAATTACCAAGTAAGTGTTATGATATATTAGTGTTAAATAATTCTTTTTTTGTTTAAAGTGCATTTTAATTGGTAAAATAAAAACAATTTGTAAAGACGTGCCATTTAAGTTTTACTCTAGGCCGGACAACTAAGAGCTAGTTTAACGTTTACAATATTATCGATATATCACATTGGGATTTGAAGTGATTTTCCTACCAACATACAGGGTATTTCGGTTAAATTGTTATTTATTGTTAATCGCGTTAGCTTCTGTAGAACCAGAAAATAATTTTGAAAATAAGCTTTTTTTGTAATACCTTGTATTTTGATAAGCAGGGGGGAGAACATACACGAGAATTGCTATAGGAAAAACCGTATTAAATTTAAGTTTATCTAACTGAATTTTTAAAAATATTGTCTCGTAAATGTGGTCAGAGTGTAATTAATAGTGGCAGTAAATATAATAATTCAACACTTCCAAATATCACAGAAATTGCAAAGATAAATAAATTGTTAAAATATTGATATCTAATCATCTTAAATTATAATTTTTGTTACAATAGATGATTCAATCTAATTTTTTTAACTGTTTTGATAGAGAGCTTCATAGTTTTGTTTAAAATTTGTAAAATATCGGACTATCAATACAGAATGGATGAGCTAATAAAATAAATACTGCTTTAAAATTTATATGAACACAATGCAATATTTTGGCGAATAAAAATAAATGCCACTTTTTTATATAATATTTAATACTCAATACATAATAATATTAATAATTAAACTTTTAGGTATCACAATTTATATACAAAAATTAAAAAACGGTACAATTAGTTGAAAACTAAAATTCTCGTGTACGCAATAAATACTTTTCGAAATAAACACACTTTTTTAAAACAAATAAATCGAAAAAAATATACACTAAAAAGTAGTCTAGGTATAAAAAGTTATAAATAAAAATTCGTTTAGTTTATTTTTAAGAGACCTATTATCTAATGAACATGTAAGTTTTGAATATAAACAGTCATGTCGTTGGAAACTACCACATTTATTTAGTAAAACGTAAGCGAAAATTAAATCCATCAAATCCGTAATATTTGCACATACCGGTTGTCTCACAGAAATTTCCAAAATATTATTTTTAGATTACTTTACACAGTACTTACAAAACCGAAAATTTTACACCAATTCCATTGGCAATGCTTTAATTATCGTTTCACTCATTTTTTTCAAAAATTGGTTATTTCACTGAGACAGCCTGTAATAATTTTTTCATCGAGTTTTAATTAAACTTTTTATAAGATTATTCACAATATTCTTCCTAAAACTAGATTAATACTCGATGAAAGAATTCACCTATCAATAACTATCATAACATCCAATAATAGCTAAGCAAACTGAACTGGTCGATAGAATTTTAAAATAGTTCAACTTATTCTCTATATATCTTTAAGCTAATTTTTCACGTAATCACAGTTAAAATTGAAATTCGACTGCAATAAATGAATGAAAATTAGAATTAATAGCGCGAGATTCGTCGCAAAACATCGCAGCTAAAAGAGATCTATATTTGGCCAACATCATTTCTACTAATAAGTATTATTATTATTAGGCATATTCAGTCACAACATTTTTATCTTCAGGGTAAGACTTGTGATTGTTTGAGGTTGGGGGTAACAATTATCTACGCCTAAATTATTGAAGCGGTTTTATATTGGTCTCGATAGTCGTTGGCCTCTTTAGTTTCAGTAATCAGAGATTTCCAATTTTACTTTTCGATGTTTTTTTGTGGACATCAAATGCTAGCTGATGTTAGGTGTTTGAATAAATTAAAACTATTGATTTAGACTTACATATCGATCAAAAGATCTTGCGTAGGTCAAAATTTTCGCTAGTCGAATAATGTGGATCACGAAAAAATATGTTAAACTAAAATCTACGAAACGTTAGTAAATTAGATCTTCTGATTGATTTATGAGGAGTTGTTCAGAAACTCTCGAGAGCAAAGACCAATAAAGACTATTCCAGCGTTGTTTTGGTCCTTAATATTTGATCTATCGCGTACTTTCAAAACTTATCAATCAAAAGCGACTGCTCCTTTGCTACAAACACATATTATATGGAACCTATTCGTTTTTTTTTAATTATCTTAAAATCTCCCTCTTCGAGTCGCAGCCGTATATACGCGTAACTAAAGTATAGGCGGCAGGAACGTGCCGGAATCGTTCAGGTTCGAATCCAGTTTGGCGACGCTGTCGTGTAACCTAGTTTCTACGATTTTGGCCTTTAGTTTATCACCTTTTTGTACGATGCACTTGTAATGCCCGCGCGAGTGGCTGCTGCTGCCCCCGGATGTGCTCGACGACGAGTGGCTGTCGTGGGACACGTTGATCTCCGAGTGGCTGTGCCGCAGCTCCCCGGACTTTTGCGACGAACCGGAAAGGATCCACGGGTGGCGAAGCGCCTCGTCCGGGGCCAGCCTCTTCTTCGGATTCCAACTGGAAATCGAAAAATGCAAGAGTTAAGCGAGTGTGGAAGAGCGCGTTAATCTTCGTTAGGATGCGCGACAGAGGACATTATTATTGTGACACCTAATGATAAATGCGAATATTTTTTTTTCACTTTCAGCGAAGTGTCGCCTTTAAAATGTTGTCATTTGCAATGTACCGTTAGTTTAATTCTTGCTCGTTTCCTTTCGGTTTGAAAAACGATTGCTACATTAACCACGCAATGTATACACACACAAAACGTTCCTTTACTTACGACCAGGGACGGCGATTTTTTAAATTCGTATATGTAAAAACGATACAAATTTGATGTAAAAAGTGAAATTTGTCTGTTTTAGTCTTAACATTTAACGTTTTAATGTTTTTTAATTCCAAGTTTTGAGTAAAATTCCATCTAATACTGAGCTTAGATGCACATATTAGCAATATTTTGTCACCTCGTTATTAAAATCCATTATACACAGCGCCTATGCGTATGTCAATGTTTCAGAAATATCATTAGAAATTATGCACCGACCAACGAGCAAGTATAATAAACATGAATGATTACAAAGTGCCTCATGTTAACTAATGACCGAGTATCATTTTGACTTATTGATACCACGCCAAAAAACCATCAAAGATGATACTTGTAATAAATAATTTCGAACACTCCTATTTCTAACATTCAATTCGTACGAAAGCCGGGAAAGGTTAATTAAAATTTAATCGAGCCGATGCGCATTCTCTTCGATTGATTTCAGTTATTTAATTGACAATCGACGAACGAACTGTAATATATAAAATTTATCGCGACTAAGCCGGGCTAACCGCCGGGGTTTTATAAATAATTGAAAAACTTACTCCAGACATTTGGACAAGAAATCGATGAAGAGCGGGTCGTTACACCGCAAGACCATTGCCAAGTTTTTCGATCCGGGCTTTCTCTTGCGACCTTTCGAATTCGTTACGCACCGGGCGTTTCCACGAGAATCTAAAAAAAGCCCATTTTTCAAGGTCGAAATGTTTAAAAATCGACGAACTTACCGAAAAACAATCTTCTCCTTGTAGCGACGGTAATGAGCTCGTCGGGCGGTGGTCCCAAAACCTCCATCAGACACGCCAATTGCTCCACTTCGTTCTCGCCCGGAAAAAGCGGGTAACCCGTATAGAGCTCGGCCAAAATGCAACCTAAGTGGGTTAAAAATAGATAAAAAATGCATATGAATTAAACTGTTCGCAACAAAAGTTACCTAAGCTCCACATATCGATGGCGGTGCCGTAAGTTAGACCGAGGATGACTTCCGGAGAACGGTAGAACCTCGACTGGATGTAAGTGTATACCCTTTGGTTTGAGTAACAGGAACTTCCGAAGTCTATAACTTTTATGGAGCTGCTTCCTCGCTGTTTCAACAACACGTTTTCCTGAAAATACGAAAAAAGCGGTGCTCAAGTGGAAGAAAACGATAGCTAAGTAGTGAAGGAGTTACCGTAATAGTCAGTAACATTAAATTTAAAATGCAATAAATCATTAACATCAATGTAATGGTATGTATAGACTGCAGCAATAATTACGCTGATAAAGATATTGTTTCAGAAGAATTTTAATTAGGAGCACGATAAAAGCGACATTTGATGAAAAATATTGACAAAAGTAGAACATACCAATGAGGAAACGGAATTATTGTCAATTATCGTTGCCTAAAAAACATTGAAACAATAAAATAGTCAATTAGGAATATAGAGAAAAAAGGACGATATAGGTCGCAAAGAAAGAACCAATTACAGAATAAACGCAGCTACAACAGTAAGTTATCAAGTTACTTGACCCGTTCAATTCGGTAAGGTCATTTCCCTTTTATGATAATGAAGTGAGGAGCGAAGAACAGCTGCGCAGGAATTGGTTTTTATTATTTTCCAAACACAAATACCGTGCAGAAGAAGTATGCCGTTTTTTTGGTTTGTAACATTAATATATTCCTGAATTATCTGCGAACGAGTTAAAAAGTATCTATGTATACAAAATGTTCATAACGTTACATAATTTGTAATACTTCACCGGCGATAAATTTCTCCGCCTGTTTTTAATACCATTTAATTACACCGTACGATTTTACTAATAATAAAATCGTTGCGCTATTTCAACGGGTACTAATATACGTATAGGAATAGCGTCGTTCTTGCGATAGTTTCGCAAAAACTATTTACTCCGCAACTAAAACCGAAATTTTTACGATTCCCTGATAGTAAATTGTTACGACGGCGCGTTAAAAATAATTGCGATTTTCAATATTCGATCGTAAAATTTAGGATTCAGTAAAAGTGAAATGTATACGGAAAAGGAGAGGAAAAAAATCACTTTTACAACAATACACCTGTGCATTAACATCTATTTTAATGCCTCCGGAAAGCAATGAACTCAAATCAAATCACTTTGTCTAAATGCATAATTGATTACCGACTACAGAGCCTTTCTATAAGCATTATAATAATTTTGCCATTTGTTGTGTACTTTGCAATAATTGAGCGAGTACAGGACGGATCAAAAATTGTACTGTAGGTACAAAATAATAACTGTAAACATTACTGCGCGAATCAGGCGCGCGACATATTTTCGGAAAAGTGTTATATGTCATGTTTTATTTGAAATTACTTGTATAATCACCTCCTGAAGTTTGGCGGTTTTTGTAGTAGAGACCCTGTATATTTCAATGTTTGGAAAATTTTAGTTGCATCGTACTTTCAAAATATACAAACTCAACAATTGTTATGTTCCCATCCTGGTATCAGTATAATTTCATATAATAATAATATTGCATATTGCATTCAACTGTTACCGTCTAATTAAGTAATTTTTGCACTGTAACCACATCTGGATTTCCACTTTGTTGGATATCGGCATTAAATCCGATTCTATATAACATATCTTAGCTCGCATCTAGTAAGAATAATAGTTATAATAAAGGCGAAAAATCTATTATACCCATCTTTTGCAGATCAAGGCGATAAAACTTTCTAATAATTGCAACAATAATATTATTTTTAGTTAATTCGCTCCTATTAAATTATATAAAAAAATATAACCACGTATTCAATTTTATTGGAGTAAAATAGATTGAATCTTCTTACTTTCTATGAATAAAGGCTACTTTCTTTACGTTAATTAAAAATTAAAATATGGTGTAGTAGTAATTTTCAAAATAATGCATTTCCCTTCATAAACCTCCAATTTAACGTATGCACTGCAATAAAATTCAGAAACGTCCATTATAGGCATGAAATTACATTTTAATGAAAGTAAATACGCTTTTAGATAAAAAGTAAAAGCTGTGATTAAGAAGAATAAATAAATTGGTTTAATGCTTGAACTAGATCGTGCGCTGTCGGGCATTGCAAAATGGTTTTTTTGTACAAGCAATAAATGATATTCCGTTAAAGTTGGTGCGAGCAGACGCCATTAGGAATAAAACGAATAGAAGCAATAAGCACAAAAAGAAATTGCATAAGTATTGTGTAAGATTCGGTTTTGTAGATGATTCGTTTTTTTCGAAAGATAATTTCGCGTTACTTAATTTTATTCGTTGTGAAAATGCAATTAACCTTTTAGTTATCAGACGTAAAATAGTTAAGAACAATATTACTAATTTATTAAACAATCGTCAATCAAGATATATGCAATGAGAATATTTCAAGTTTTTCAGAGTTGTGAAAAAAACGTCAATTAACTTTGTTGAATTATTTATTTAAAGTTACTTAAGTGACACCACGTGTGTCTGTTTCATGTTACTTGTAGGTACAGAAATAAATTGTCAAAAGGTGTGGACCTTTATCGAATTATTTGAACCAGTTTTCTTTGAAGAAAAGAATTTTATTGTTCTAATTAAAAATCTCAACTTAGGCGACACAATATGTTAACAAATTTTACTTTTAAATAATTTATACATATGTCGCCCAAAATGAGTTTAATGCAAAGATTAAACGTATTAATCAATTTAAACGTATTAAAAAATCGCATTTCAAGGAATTAATAATTAAAAATTGTGCAATATTGAGACAATCGGAGACATCGATGATGATATATAGGAGGTCAAACACCTCGAATTATGAATAATTTCAACAATACGTCGACGTACTCGCATCTCGAGTACCCAAGTGTCTATTGTAAGCGACCAGACAAAGAGACAGCGGGTCTGTAGGTGGGATCAATTGTAATCCCAAATTAGTATCCAGCGAAAAGTCCCAAGTTACTAATTTTCTCATAAAAGAATCATAACTGTTTCAGTAGAAAAAAATTGCTAATTGTAAGCGTGGTCACGTCAGGAAATCACATGAAGATTAATTAATTGAGTCAATTAGGTATGAAGTCTATAAACAGCATTTCCCTTCAATGGATTGATGATAGTATGATAACCCTATTTTAATATTTTAAATATTTTATAGTTGAGGAGAATAATAAGTTGTTAATAATAAGAATTAATCTTGAAAGAAATTTTCCGTTCAAATAAAACCGTTGTTTTTATCCACACGCTGTTAATGACCCTCATGAATATCTCGGCAAGACGAGACAATCGAAAGAAAGAAATGTAAATCGTATTGAACTTGATAAAAAATCGTTCCTGAAAATAAAAAAATATGTACTCACCGGTTTGAGATCACAATGAATGATATTCTCCTTCTGTAGCAACCGCAGGCATTTAAGGAGCGAGTTGGCGAACCTCCTGATTAGGTTCAAACTAAATCCCTGATAGTTGTTTTTCTTTATCAGCTCGTACAAATTCAGGCTGTAATAAAACAAAAGTAAATTTTGATTAATGACCAAATATCAATTAAATTGAAATTAAATGCGCCGCGTACGATTTTCCACATTTAGAAAAAAGTTGAGAAATCACTAGTATATTGGTAATTATATCGCAGTGAAATTTCAGTTACATATAAGTGCACAACGATTAAAAACATTTCTCCCAATTAAAACTTTATTATTACATTTCGAAACCAGTACGATATTATTTCGTCGAGCGTTAGTAATTGGAGCACACATACACACACACACGTTCATTAGAAAAGTTATAGCAGTAGGTAAATTATTGTCATTATAAATACCTGAGTAATTCGAAGCTGATGCACAAGTGATTCCTAAAGTAAAAATATTCCAGCATGTGTATGACGTTGTGGTTGCATTCCTTGTCCTTCTTCCTCAAGTGATCCAATATCCTGACTTCGACGAGCGCCTGATGATGGAACCTTTTCTTGTTCCTTATGATTTTTATGGCGACGTGTTTGTTAGTCATGTGATCTAAGGCTCTGATGACCTGACCGAAGCTGCCTCTTCCTATTACCTCCAGTATTTCGTACCGGTACCCAATGTGATCGTGAAGTACCTGAAATAAATATTAAAATAAAGCGTAATCGTGATGAAAAACATGTGGGTCACAAGGATAGTAATCATCGTTAGTTTTATATAGTATTTCAAAGTGCAGATTCCTGACTGTTCCTAGCCTTATTAATCACCGTAACTGGGCGTAATAACGATCGTGAACTTCAATAAAGGTATTTAGCAGGAAAACCGATAAATAATTATTCGCGAGATGAAGTTCGGAATTGAGTTAGGCTGTTGACATAATGTGAATGGGCTCAATTGATGGGTCGTTATTCTGTTACAAAGACTTATTTTACAAAAGAGACGAGCAGACAAGGAGATTAATTTAAATTTAATATGAATTTCGTTAATGCCATTGGCATGTGGATAATTGTGTTATAAATAGATGGAGTAATGATGTAAAACGGAGCTTATTTTGTACAACACCTACATATACTTTAAATTTAATAGAGAATTTATAATTCGTAATGTAACTTTCACTGCAGCTCAAATTAATCGTTGAAAAAAAAAATACGTAAAAAATCGATTGAAATTGCCTCTTTTGTTATAAATTTTTGTGAACATTATTACATTTCACCTTCAACAAATGTACCTTATTAATTTCGAGCAGAAATTTAAACTTGACCTGAATAATTTATTTCTGGTTCAACAAAAGTTTAACTGTAAAAAGACCTTTCAAGTATCTCTTTTACTTTGTTCTACCTCAATTTTATAATGTCACGCAATATTCATAGCAAAAATAACTGTTTATCAATATATTACCAAACAATGACTTTTTTATACAAACGTTTTTAACAATGTTTTTTGATAATTTCAAGTAGATAGCTGATATTTATTCGGCCTCGGTAAAATTAATATTAAAAATAATGTTATTGTTTACTATGCCGATTCGTGTAATTCAGTTACAATAAAATTGTTTAATCTAAAGTGATACCGTAACGTGTGAATTAAAGTTTAAAGTTTCACAGATAATTTATGATATGTTTATTTATTAAAATAAGAGTGTAAATTCAATAAACAATCAAAGTGTAGATAAATAGTGGAAAATTTTATAATAGATGAGGAACAGAAGATGAAAGTGTAAAATTTAAATTTATATCTTACCTTATTATAACTTCCACTGTCATCGTCGTAACCTCCGTTTTGAGAACCGTTGTGTTCACCGTGTATTTTACAGGCAGATAGTCCTAGATACCAAATTTTTGAATATTTTTCTATTTCAGTCTTTTCGTAATCAGACAGTCGATTTCCGTAGATTCTTAGGGCCTCTGTAACAACAAACACTTGGTTAAAAGTTATACAGAAAACTATTCGAATTCAAAACTAATTAAGTAGATTAAATAAAGCAAGAGCGATTAATTTTATGTAGAAGAATATAATGTTGTGCTTTATTGATTTTCTTTTAATCGTTAAACACATCTAAACTAATTTAAATTATTCAAAACGTGAGAAAGTTTACACAAAGCAGAATTACAAGTCTGTTTTCGGCCATATATGGGGTTTTCATGGACCGGATATTTACCATAACAGGATTGTCAATGTAAACTGTTTTATCAACACCTCTTACAAAAATTCAAATCCATACTACGAAGCTTTTATGTAATAAATTAATCGAAAAGAACACGTAAGTATTTGTACACATTAGGTGCAACGAGATAAGATTGGTTATTTCGAAAAAGAAATTAATTGGAAATAGACTACAGCGATTATTTATTAGTAGAATTAACGCTATAAAGACATCGAAGTCGAAAGTGTCATTTAAATTTCACTCGATAAATATAGCGGTATTGAGCGTAGGTATTTCGATTGATATTCTTTGTGCGGTTTTTCAACGACTTATTCGCGGAATTTCATTTACACGCTCTAATAAGTAAACACAAATCGAGCGAACGAATCGCGATTTTATGTAATAATCGAGGAAAATTCATAAAGCTACGCCCGCGCCTGCTTACCTGATGGTGTCATGGGAAAGCTGCTTTCATCTTTATTGTTGTTACTAAGCTCGTGTTGAGAACTTCTTGTGTTATTATTTATGGCCGGAAAACCGGCATCCACCATTGGGGACATCGGAGTGCTCAGCGTCTTGCCTTGGTTCAAGTTGATCTTGGATGAAGATTTGCTGCTCGTCTCTAATAATGGCAGCTGCAAGAACAAAAGTCCCATAAATAATCGCAATTATTCCACCAGTATCTAATGAGAATGTATGTTTACGGGATTACGAAATTGCATATTCATCAATTGAAACTGACAGGGAGTGTTATCAGCTGCGTATTGTGAAGTTAAAACTTTTTTATTGTCATTATCTACTTCTCATTTGTGTTATATTTATTAAGAAGAACTGGTTCTTATTGTTTGTACATTATAGTTTTTTAAATTGGAAAAGAGGACAAAGTAATTAAGATAAACGAACTGAACTAGGCAATTTTATTGTCATTTAGATCATACGGTTGTTAAAATGCATGTAATAAACACTTTTGAATCGCTTTCAGTACGTTAATGCTCGTAAAAGTAATTTTTTCAATACATAATACAGGTAATACTGGGAATAATTATATTTAGAGCGATATAACTACTCGATTAAAATAAACCTAGTAGGATTATAAATTACATGGTGTAAATTATCAATTAATATGCGAACATTAAGAAGTTTAATTTATTGACTAACTTGCTTATAATCTGGTGTTTATTAAACCATAGCAGAAAGCGTTTATGCTGTTGTATCTACTCCAAAAATAATATTGCAAGAATAGAGTAGACGCCCAGCATGAAAAAAGCCTCTTATCGCATTCGTCACAACAGCATTGTCCTAATGACCAATGACTAATTGTTTGTGCCCGTAAATATCAACAGCCGATAAGGCATACAATTGTTGCTGATATTGCCCAACTGAAAAAAGCTAATCCGCCTACAAAACGAACCGAACCATAGAAAAAAAAGTCTTTAAATGCTGCTGGCTTATTAATATTATTATTTATTATAATATCATACGACCTCTGAGATCGGATCATTTCACGATATCCTTGGGCGAATCAGGTGAAGTTAAATGTTTCATACTCTCGTACATTGCAAAAGAGGAACGGTTATTTTTTCGATGGTATTAAGAGATAAAATTGGCAATTTTTGAATACTTTTTAGCGTTAGGTAACTCCGAAGGAGCAGATCCTACTTATAAATATTTATGGACAAAAATAAATCAAGCATTTGAAATTCTGTTTTAAAACCGAAGAGCGATTTTCACCGATTTTCACTTTTATTATAAGCCACATGGATTCGGAATGCAAAGAAAAAAAAGAAACCACGCAATTAACTTTTCCTCCAATACTTCACTGACTCACTTTCCATCATGTTAGAATCGTAATATTCTTAACCGGTCGGTGATAATTTAAATAGGAAATTGGTAATAGGTTTTATTAGTCACTTTACTAATTTAATTGATATTGCATATTGCATTAAAATTCCTGAGAAGACGATGTAATATTAATAATAATTACGAGCTCCACGGGGAGCAAGGAGTTCTTAAGAATTTGAAATTTATCAAAAAATTGCCAGTGTCACAGCAAACATTAAACCTCTAAGAAACCATATACACGCAAATTGTTCGTATTAAAAGACAAACCTATTAAACAAATTTATTTGACCTTTCTAACACATTGTATTGCAACCGAGTCCATTCAGTACTATTGTGTAGGTTAAGTTATCATTAATAAATTATTTTTTCCATTCGTTTGTACCAGTTTTTTTCGCCTGGAATCGTAGGCAGCAAATTATACCGTTAGTAAACATTGTATTTGGAATTAAAATCAATTTGAGCTATTCCGATGCGAAAAAATCGGGTGGAATGGTAATGGCGATTTTATTTATTTATTTTAATTAATGCGAGGAAAACAGGTACATTTGCCAGTCATCTACGGTCTGCGAGGTTGGGGCAAAAAGCTTCCTGAATTTACTTTTTTTTTATAAAAATTTCTAGTGCATTATTGACACTATACACATAGAACCTTGATGGTTTAGTTATTTCTATCGATCTTGTAAATTACTTACGTCTGTGTGAATTAGAGATGTTCTTGTTATTCCGTTGTGGCAAGATGAGCTCATGTGTTTGCTAGAGGAACTACTCGTTTGATGCAAGTGAGAGGATCCATAGTCTGATGTGGAAAAGTCTTTGTTACTGTGTACAGACTGCAACAAAACAAACAATACAAATTTCAAAACTGATTCTACAACAACGCTTCATTAAACAAACGGGATTTTTGGCACGAAAAAAAATTACAAAAAAGGTTAGTTACCTTTGCATGAATCAAAATCATCGTCTAGTGGGCTTTTAATCTCGTTTGATCACTATACTTATGCAAATATATTCCAGCACAATTACAAGGTACGCAAAAAATTAAATCTGATGATTTTCTTAACGGTAGAATTTTTACCTCCCATCATGCGCTATCCAAAAATCGTTGACCCAACCAAAAAAAAAATACTTCCAAGAAACTTTGATTGACAGGGAAAATTCTACGCTAGGTGTATAGCGATATTGTTCTGCCCACGCACGACCACTCGCATGGGTCCTAACAGCGGATCGATATGGATTCAGAGTAGGTTGCCCACATGCGAAAATTACATGCGAAATTTTAGATTAAAAAACATTTCCCGGCCCCTCCGACACGACCATCGTAAAGCAACACCACAGGCAAATTATAAATTTAAATTATCTATCGATTATACGGTGACAGGAAATTTAGTAAAGGTGGATCATCATCAATAATTTGTAAAGAGATTAATAAGAACATGAAAAAATTAAAATTACAGCTTGGCTACGCCTCACTACAAACTAGTAAGTGTGAATTTACTATAAAGAGTGGGTATTATTATTTGCAAATTGGGTTAACCGGTAAATATACACCTGGAGCGAGAATGGTGTAAAAAAATTCGCAAAAATATCCATACGTGACCAAAACTTCACGTGTAATAATAAGGTACATACTTGCATACGATAGTAAAATAAGTTTGCGGCTAATCGATAAACAAGTACAGTCTACGACCCACGTGCTAACGATTAAATCAAAAATAAAAGCAGGTGTAGGTGATTAAAAAACGACTATTTCACATAAGGTTTAACGCATAAAATTGTAAGGATTTCATTTTATATAACTATCAAATGGGTTTTTTCAAGAGTTGTGCCATTAAAAAGCAGTAAAAATTCTACAAAGAACCTTTTATATACGAACCTTCAAGTATGTTAGAGAAGCTTTTGAGGTCAATGGTCCATTACGGGAAGATACTTTTACTAAATGTTGAGTAGGTTTAGAAGATAAAACTTCTTTCTGATGGTGACTCGCAGGGCTCTGAAATTAAAATACATAAATTCAGTAAGCGTATCATCAAACATCCTTTCAGACGGGATTTCAATAAAAGAAAAACCAACTGGCATTGATCGAGTTCAGCAAATCCAATTCTATGTGAGTAATGAAGCTTGCGAGCTTTCCAAAAGTAAACTCTAATATAAAATTCATTAGAACGACGAGGGTGTAAACACCCACGTAAACTGTTTGCCAGACTCGAGACGCTCTAAGAAAGGACGGTAAAGGCGTCACGGCGACCTTTTCGCAGGGAAATCTCATTTAATTATGCGAAACTCCAGACTTTCTTTGTCGCCAATGGCGCAGACTATTGAAGTGTCATTTGTACAATATTATTCCCCCGATAATTGCTATCCTATTGTGTATTTTATGGAAATTCAATTCGCGGCAAATTACAAGCGTATTATACAATTTGAAGTGTCGTTACTTCTTGCTCGTACAATAATATAGCTGTATATAAAATGATCTAATTTTAATAGCTGCCTCGAGCTGATATCTATTTTTAGTATATTAATTTAATAGGTTTATTATAGTAGGATTGTGTAAGGCCCTTTGATCGTGGGAGTTTAATTGATTTTGATACGATTTTGCTTCAGATAAAAAGCTTTACAGTAGCTTTTGCAAATGGGAATTGCTATAATTATACTTGCATAAAATTAATCCAATTTATGTTATAAATAAATATAAATTTGCTCCAAATAAATTCTCTAAAATCATAAATGAAATGTATGTAAATTATTATTATACCTATAGGTACCTATTAAATATTAATCCTTATAACTTTTACTTGGCGCATCTTGTACATTTTAATTTACAGTATAAATTAAATTAAATCGAAGTTATAAAGCATCTAACTATTAGAATCGCCTTTAGAAATTTCGAATATCGGAATTTACTATCCCATGGCGTGATTATCATTTCTCTCATTATCCCCCAAGATATTCAAATTATAGTAATGGGAGGGAATTAGGAAACTCAAATAAGCATGTATTACACACATACGCTCATAAGAAGTGAGATAATTATTACGAGCGTGTTGTACTTACACGAACGAGTTTTACAGGATGCAAGGCTGGAAATCTGTACATATAAAAATAGAAAATTCTGCCGTAAGGCTGGTAACGCATTAAACGCGGGAACGACTGGTGCGATGTTGTTAAGAACGAGTTTACTTACATTAATTGTAAGAAATTAATTAATTTCGACAGGTTTTTCTCTTTTTAATTGAGCATCGAGATTGATGTTTGACGCTGATAATTACGGGTTGTAAATTGCTATTTCAGTCGAGGAATCGGAGCTATTTTAATCCAAGAGATTAAACTTAAGAAAGAACAATAAGTCTAAATGTCGAAATTTGAAACTTCCAAAAATAGGTTGTCTTCCTAAAAATAGGTTTCGATATTTCTCAATGTCAGATCGAGATAAATTTTATAACGACTTCCTAGTTTAGGATTATTAATGGCTCTACTTAATGTGTCGTTTGATAGCGCTGATTTTATATTTGTATCCATTATTATTAGGTAAGCGTATTCGTGATTTATTTAGCATACTTAACTATGTATTAAAGTTAAGAAACCACGAGCACGTTCCTCCTAAAAACGTTTTCGGTTAAGAATAGGAAATCCATACACTTGTATGTATTGTTTTTAATGCATATTACATAAATGTGTGCATAATACCAGCCAATTCAGAACCCAAACACCGACCAATGAGCACAAGGCCACTCAAAATTCAAACTATAACATTATTTCCAGCAAAAGTTTCTGTTTTAACGACATATATGATTTTCCTCAAGGCGATTAACACAAATTGTAGAAGTGTGTTTGCAATTATGCTTTATTAAATCAATTAAAAAAAATCATAATAAACCCGCAGAGGTTAAATTTAATATTTAAATATACGGTAATTTCAAAAATGATACACGAAGAGTGCTAATTATATTCGACGTCCGTAAGTACAAGACTTCCTGCCAAAAAGATATCTAAAAATATTTTATGTTATTATACGAAGGATTTGATAGAATCTATCAATGTAAGCGAAACGTTATGAAATCTGCGCTATATAATAAGCTATAATTATTCGAAGATTAACTTCTAATTTTCTTGTAAAAATTAATTAAAACTAATATGACGAAAACTACACGAGTTGAAAATATTGCAATGTTAACAAGTTATACTTTTTTTCTTCTATAATCTCATTTTCGGAAGCTAAACCGAGTTTAGCTATTGGTTTCCAGGATGCCGTGCAGGCGGAAAAGTCGATTTTACGTTTGGAGTTCCAAATATTTTCCACGAATCATAAATATTATTTAATATTCGGTTGCAACCGCTGTTACAACCACATTAATTTGTCAATGGAGTACGGTCACGATAGATAAACTAGACAATTTATTTGTAAGTTGGATGGGACTATGCGGAAATATTTTATGCAGTTATGTAGATATGTCTATTTTTAATTAGTTAATAAAATGTCGGCTCTAAATCTAACCTTTAAACTTGTTATATTTAAAGCTCCGCTAGGCACCCTAGTAGTAATTTAATCTAGAATACACCGCCTTTATGGCGTAAACTTTCCTAAACTTTAACCTTTAGATTAGACGTCAAAATGCGTTTGAAATATATAATACGAAATTGTGTAACAAAAATAGCACAAAGGTCTCCTATAATAAGGAAATATCGACTAAAAATACCCTACGAAAACAAATTTAGGATCGATTTTGTATTTCCGACTGTTTTTCATTGACGAGAACAGTTCAGTAAAATGCGAGTTCAGTCACGAAAACAAACAAAATCATTCCTTAGTCTTTGGATTACGGATTATGGAACCACAAATGCTGAATATATGAATAAAACATTCGTAAATTTAACCGTTTTTAACAATAGAACTTTCTCAAAAATACCTATATATGTAGAATAATTTCCCTCTCAACTTTATTAACTCTTCAAGCACTTCCGTTTGAAATCACTATTAATTTCAATCATTTCGCTTTTATAAAGCAATCCAAATATCCCGCAGAGAAAATTCAGTAGGTATCGTGATTTCCTCCGTGTGCGCATATATCCATATAATACGTGAGTGCAAAGTGCAGCGAAGCATCAGTTTTCATAAGAAAGAGAAACCGTTCCGCTGCACTTCGAAAGTGAAAATTATTTAATAATGCCTATCATTTATTTTATTTGCCTGTTCTTTGACGACGGGTTGCATTTCTAGGTCAAATTCAATTGTAATAGTTTTCCTTTGAGTACCTACTCGACTGAGACCATTACGGAGATAAAATGAGTACCGGTAAATAAAATCTATGATGACATCCTATGGTACTTCTGTACCGTTTATTATATTGTTCACTTTATATCGGGTGCAGGCTATAAATGAATGAAATAGGTATGAATTAAAGGATTATATACACAAACCTTAATTTGAGGATATGTAAATGCAGTATAAATGAAGACAAATGGTCAAGAAATGAATCTAAATACCACTTCCTACATTACTCTATTTTGCTAGTTTTCTATAGAAACACCCATAAACATGCAGATAACTACAGTGTTTGCAGTTTTCGAATGTATCGGCAGTAATTACATCGCCATTTCAATAGACTTCGCTTTCATTTTCATGTACTCAGATGTATCTATTGACCATTAAAACGAAAGTATATCGTGATGGACTTAAATAACCGACAAATAACGCAAGATAAAATCTTAATGTTCGACTACGTGCATTGATTAGACGTCTTTATAAAGCGGATTGATAAAAAATCAGCTTCTATTACACATACATGATAATACTTGGATTACGATATATAGTATGTGTTTTTTGTAGGATGATATCTAATACTAATAGAGGTACTAATAGGGAAAATAATTAAAAGTTAAAAGAAATAAACCATGTATACTTTTGTTATTGCGCATTTTGGGTAACTTCAGCTATTTCTGTCGATTTCTATCTGTATAGTAAATGTAAGTGTGCATGTAGTGTTGAAGCATAAAAAACAAACTGAAGAAATAAGCTTCTTATAGAATTGTAAATTTCTAGGTAAGTAACGATTTATTACTTGTATAATAACTATAAATTTGCGTGCATTCGTGGTACACATGATTGTTTTAATAGCTACAGGTAAGCCATATATTAGCGAAAAAGTCACGAAAGTAATGGAATAGCGAACTAATGCACACAAATGGATACGCTACATAGGAGAAACCAATTTCTTACATAATAAATTTTAAACTTCCCGGATTAAAAATATAGTGTGTACGCAATTTGCGAACGCTCTAATCTAATCAATTAAATTACCTATAAATTATCCGGCTCTAATTTTGCAATTTCTTCCAGATATTCTCATTTATCCTCGCAGGGGAATACAATTTCAGTCTTCTCGACTAACTCGAGGCGATTTAAATATTTATATGGCGTACGTCAATTGTAATCTAAACGGTAACAATTTGGTAAACAATTCGATGCATAATGCAATCTGTAGATACGAATACGAACATCAGATCGAATAATGTTATTTTCGTTACATATTAATGGATCGAAATGTTTCAATTCATAAGTTCTATTCTACTTAAATCGGCTGAAGCATGTATCGTAGCATGTAGCGGTACAATATTGAAATAGATTTGTTAGATATTACTTAGGGAATATTCAAATATAAAATTTATGCACCTGCAATTTGGAGCACTGCAAATAATTTAAAACGGGATGACACTTTGCAGAGGATTTCTGAGCCAACTATTTTAACATTAGAACTCTTTTTTTCCGCTGTGTCGTCCTTGTCTGGTTGATTTCGATTAAGAAATATCGTCTATTTATATTTCTTATTCTTTGCATACCGCAATTTCGACATCAAATATCAACTCGATAGGCCTTGGATCAGCTAAACAATAATAAATTTTATTTTTAGACGAACGCTTAATGACAGTGTATGTCATTGTTTCCATTTAATTAATTTCATCCTATTATTTACAGCAGTCGCGTTTCGTAGTGTA